CAAGCCAAAGGGAGAAATTTTGAGTTCAGCCCAGTCCAAGAAAATTAAAAAGGCAAGTGAGAAACAACCCATCTCCCCATCACAATAAAAGCAACAGGTTATGTGGTAGAGGCTAGAAAAATAGTAGATCTAATTGGCACATCAAAATTCTTTTTAAATGACAAACTACAAAAACCACTGATTAACTTACTCAATGAAAATGGATAATGCATGCATGTGGGAAATATTGAAAAATGGGAAAAATGTAAGAAATAACCTCTATTTCTTAAGAAAACTAGATGAAATGCATACTTTCCATGGAAAAAGCACAACTGGCCCTATAAAAGTTAAAAATATTTAAACAGACCAATTTCCTCAGAAAAAAGTAGAGAATGTTATCAGGCATGAGGCTCAGGTAGTATAATAGGAAACTTCTAACAAACCTTCAAAGATTAGATGATTCCAATTTGTTTGCTTCATAATTTTTCCAAAGCACTGAAAAAGAGGACATTTTCTAGTTCTCATAGAAAACAAAGAAATACAAAAAAAAGGCATCTTCAGACCAAGTCATTAAATATTCATATAGAATTTCTAAATAAAAAATTAACAAAATCCAACATCAAAATAGTAATTTGTAGACCATCGCCAAGTAGAATTTATTTCAGAAATGCAAGTGTTATCAATATTAAGAAATATTTAAATATAATACAGCATATTAATAGATCAAAAGACAAAATATTATCATCTCATCAGATTCGGAAAGAGTCATTCATTAAATTTAACAACTATACCTAATGAAAACCAGTTAAGAGAATAGACAGGTACATTTATAATATGGTAATATGCGCTCTCCCACACACATATATAGTCTGGTCCTAAAGTCAGCATCTTTGTTAATGAAGGGCATTCTCACTAAGATCAGGAAAAGGAAAAATCACAGTTACCTTCCTTATTATTCAGTACTGTTGTGTAATAACAGTACTGTTGTACTAGACAATGCAGTCAAACAAGAGTAATCAACAGTCTGGTCTATGCCTGATGGGACCACACAAGCGGGCACTGCTAATGACCTAAATGCCTCATATTTTCAGTGCTGGTGGCAGCAAAAATGTCCCCAGTGAGTTAGTGTTGGTCACCAGTTGAGATAAGGGAGCAAATGGTTGGGCAAAGGGTGCAGAGGGGAGGACTCAGCTCACCTCCCTGGGGCAAAGATCACAGTACAAGCTCTGAGGCTATCATTTCAGGTGCAGTAATACTCATTCTCCCCTTCAGCCCAAAGTTCAGGGAACAATAGTCCTCATATTTACAGTGCTTTGATGCACTATAAAGAGTGCATCACAATTGCCCATGTGTCCAAGGCTTCCATTGCAGAAAGTGGTTACCTGACCAAGTGACCAATATGGTGAGACAGAGGCTTGTGAGTCTAGCATCACAGCACACCTGCTCCTTGGGGGCCAGAGGAGAAAGGCAGGTGCTGTGTGCCCCTGGGGCCCTTCAGCTAAACCACTTGAGAGTGCCCCATTTATAAAGGGCTGAGGGGGGAAAGCTCAAGGGCGTGTTAGAAGTGCTCCAGAGTTCTGTCTTCAGAAGCTCCCCTGTGGGAAGAATGCCCACAAGCTGTGTCTTATCCCCTAGACAGACTCTCCCAGGATTCAATTTACTCTAGTCCTCACTATCTATCAGCTCTTCCCAGACTCAGTTTGGACAAAGACTCGTAGAAAAAAAGGAAATGACCAAATATGAACCAGACCCAGGAGCTCATGGGTTGATGGGGTGAGGGTATCGTCAGTGGAGAAAAGTCACACATCAGTGAGGATACAGTTTGCCCAAATGGCCTAGAGCCAGCTGAGTGGTTCACCAGCTGTCTATCACAAGCTTGCACTCAGCATGTCACACAGTGCCCCCTGCTGGCCACCAGGCCCACATCCTCCAGTCACTGTGCTAGCACTGCACACATGGGTGGAGTGTCCTTTTTGTACTGTATTCCTGGCATCACTGCCCAAGACAACAGAGTGAGAAGAGACCTCAGTCGGTCCACCACTGGAACAGTAATGCTCTTACACCTGGATTTTCATCTTGATGAAAAACTTTTTTTTCCAAAATGTCAATTTCTGGCAACTGCCCCCCTGGAACTTCAACCTTGCCTGCACATGTATGTGAACTGCACATGTATGTGAAAAGACAGAAGAGTACAAACAAGAACATACAGATGGGGAAATAACCCTGTGTGCATGTCGAGGGGTGCAGGGAAATAGGGCCAAAGAAACTTCAAAAACGTTGATGTATAGGTTTGGATCTGTAGGGTGAGTCAGGTGATCTCTTTGGCAGACAGGAAGAGCCCTCAGGTTAGAGGTCAGGGCAGGTCCAAGGCCAAAGAAAGAGTGGAGACTGGCCACCAGTAACCCTGGTGATTGGCTACCTGAGGTCAGAGAGGTGGACCCTCTGAACATGTGAATCCAGCACTTCCAACTGGAATGGAAAAGAAAAATCTAGAAAAATATATGCACCCCCTTAGTTAAACCTTACATTCCTTTTTACCATTTTTAATGCACGTGAATATGCCTATCTTTAAATTGCTACAAATATATTCACAATGGTGTTACCTATATACACTTGCCCATTGTGTAAATTCAGTCATTTTAACTCACATTATTTTCAATACTCCTGAATAGCATACATAACTGTCATTTGGAACCTGCCCTTGTCTGCCCCTGGGGCAGTTAAATGGTGTTCTGTGAGGTCCCCACATGCAGGGTGAGGACAGGAGCTCAGGGTTTGTGTCTCACTTCCCCACTGGCCTGGAGCACTGTGTGATCATGGAGGCTGCTGTCCCATGCTGAGCAGTGATACTCAGCCTCACTCTCAGGCTGGAGCCCAGAGATGGGTGGGGAGGCCATGCTGCCTCTCCTAGAACCAGAGAACTGGTCTGAGATTCAAATAATGTCATATCACATATATTATATTATATTATATTATATTATATTATATTATATTATATTATATTTTTATTTTATTATTATATTAATGCATTTGGAGATCCAAAGAAAGAATTTTGAATCACAGACAACCACAGAACCAAGCTGCTTACTTTAAAACCAGTAAAACCTCAAGAAAAATTGAGTAGAGCTCCCAGACTTCTGCTGGAATTATTCAGACTTCTGCTGAATAATTCATAGACTATCACCTGACTCCACTGATGCCCCTCCTCAGGAGACACAGCTGCAAAGTCCCCACAAGTGAGTAAAAGTGCTTGCAGCACTCTTGGGGTTCATCCAACTGGGAGTGGCCACACTCCAACGACCCATGGTTAGTCCCACAGCACCCCATGCTGGTCCAAATGGAACTGCCTTAACTGGGTGACCAGAGTTTGCAACACACATGTTTATGACTCCAATCTGCCAGGCACTGTCCTAGGCCTTAATGTTATGATGATCAACACAGCCTTTTACTTTTATATTTGGGTCTCCCAGAGGAGATGGAACTTGATCTAGTTCTAAAGGGAAAGCAGGAAAATCATTGTAAGAAAAGGAAATAAAAGGCATAAAACAGCAGCAGCATTTGGGATCAAGGGACATCCCAGAGGTGGCAGAAGTCTGCGGTGCCTGGCAGCTGTAGAAGGCAGCGAAGTGTGGAAGGTCAGGCAGAGAGGAAATGAACAAGACAGACTTGGCCGGGAGGGGGAGGGGTGCTGTATAGGCTACCCTAGGGATCTGAGACTTCCTTTACTTGACATTGAAGACTTTAAACATGGCAGTAACATTCTCAGGTTTCCATATTGGGAAGTTTTTTTTAAATGACATAAATTAGAGAAACCCAGAGAGGAGACATGGGTGGTTCTGTGCGAGTGTCCATGGCGTGGGAAGCAAGAGGAGAGGAGCTTGAAAAGTGATTAGCAGTAGACTCTGCTCAGCTGGTGAGCACATGCATCCGGCAGGTGAGAAAGAAAAGGAGGCTCAGCGTCACTAATCATCAGGGAAGTGCAGATCAAAACCACCATGAGATATTACCCTACACCTGTTACAATGGCTGTTATCAAAAAGGCGAGAGATAAGTGTTGGTGAAAATGTGGAGAGAGGGGAATTCTAGTGCCCTCTTGTTGGGCATGGAAATTGATACAGTCATTGTGGAAAACAGTATGGAGGATCCTCAAAAAATTAGAAGTTGCCCTAGCTGGTGTGGCTCAGTGGATTGAGAGCCAGACTGCAAACTATAGGGTCTCTTGTTCAATTCCCTGTTAGGGCACAAGCCTAGGTTGCAGACCAGGTCCCTACTGGGGGTGTGCAAAAGGCAACCATGCATTGATGTTTCTCTCCCTTTCTTTCTCCCTCCCTTCCCCTCATCTAAAAATAAATAAATACAATCTTTAAAAGAAAAAAATTAGAAGTTGACCTACCATCAGATCTAGTAATCCATGTTGGGGTATGTATCTAAAGGCAACAAAATCAGTATGTTAAAGAGTTATCTGCACTCCCGTGCTCATAACAGCATCACTCACAATAGCCAAAGTATGAAAATAGTGCATGTGTGTGGCAGTGGAACAGGTAAAGAAAACGTGGCATACATGCATATACACCATGGACTTTTATTCAGCCATAAAAAAGAAAAAATCCCTCCCATTGTAAAAACATGAATAAAAGGAAAGAACATTATACTAGGTGAAATAAGCCAGGCACAGAAGGACAAATCCTGTATAATCTCACCCTCATGTGGAGTCTAATAGTCATCTCTTGGGAATCCTCCCGCAGTCTGGTCAAATCTTAAAGCCCCTGTCTTTCCACGTGGTGAATACCCCAACTCTCACGCCTCTTCTGGTCTTGCCCCCCTCATTCTCACACTCGCCTTGGACCAGCACTGACCACTGGAGGGCCAGGGTCTCAGAGCTTCAGAGAAAAGGTTTAAAGGTCCCATGCCTAGGAGCTGGTTCTGATAGCGTGCCCCGCCTACTGGAGGCTGATCATTAACCCAGAGCTTGTATAAGGAAAGAGCCTTTCCTGGGCATGGGGAAAGGACCGCCAGCAGCCATGGCCAGCACGTTAAGCCCCAGCACCATGACCGGGACCCCGGGCCCTCCTGAGATGTCAGAGCGTATCCGAAACGCTGCTGACATCTCCGTCATTGTCGTCTATTTCGTGGTAGTGATGGCCGTCGGGCTGTGGGTATGCAGGCGTCCAACCGGGACTCAGGGCAGCTCGTGGCTTAGGGGTAAAACATCGAGGGAGGAAAAGGTGTGATGTGACAAAGTGGAGAGAACATTAGCAGCTGTCACAGACTTTATGTCCCTTCTCTCAGAACCCTTTTCTTGTGTGTGACATCAATAACGCTCACACTGAGTTAGTTTCTTCTCCCAACAGACCCGCTGTGTGAATGGGGCCACCGCCCGGAACTTCAGGCTTAACCTGCTCAGCGTCTCCAGCCCAATGCCCTTTCTTTTTCTGACCTCACTTCTTCTGTTTTCCTGTGTTATTTGCTCACTCTCCAACTTACTTGAGTTGGAGACTCGATTCCCTGATGCTTATTCTTTCTTTTAGTGACACCTTTGAGGCTACAGATGTTCTTCCCAGCACAGCTTCAGTGATACCTCACATTGCTTTCATAAATGAAAGAAGCAGAGCGATTAGGACAAAAGTTGAGAAATATAATTTCCTAAAGTCCCTGGGTTCTGCTCAAACCCTGATTTGGAGGCCCTTTAAAGATGGATGCTAATGTCACAGTCTCCAGGGAAACGTGTCTCTCTTCAGGAGAGACAGAGAAGGGCACTGCATCAGCACCACGACCGCAGTATTGGGGCACCCTGGGTACGTAGGCGGCAGTCTGACCCTCCCCTGTCTTCCCTCCCTCACAGGCAATGCTGAAGACCAACCGGGACACCGTGGGGGGCTTCTTCCTGGCGGGTCGGGACATCGTCTGGTGGCCGGTGAGTGGTCAGAGTTTCCAGGAAATGAAGTTCCTGTGCATGCGTTTGAGAGTGGGATAACGAAAACATTGGGTAGGCTGATCATTTCTGATGTGTATTGCTTGCCTGCCTGCTGGGGTCTCTCTTCCTAAATCCCTGACCTCAGGGCTTTGCCCGTCATTCCAGTAGATGGCTGTGCATGGCACCAGTTACGACAGCAGGTGTAGTGGGGCATTTGAGAAGACCCTGCTCAGCTCTGCTTCATGTGCTTTCTCCCTGGTCCTCACCAAGAACCTTCTGCCTTGGCTCCTTACGATCCACAGCATATTCCCAATGGATACAATCCTTCTCTGGTCCCACCCCTGAGCTAACGCCGACCCTCTTGTTTGGATGAGCGTCCCGCTCCCTCCTCTCCTCCTTCAACACTTAGCTGCATCCCTGCTTCGTCTGAGAAACCCCGCTCCGCACTCCAGCCTGAACGTCTAGTCCTTTGTTCTGTGCGGTTGCCATAGCGGATGTGTGTCCCCTGTGATGGTCAAAGTGGCGATGCCTCTGTGACTCTTGCCCAGTTTCTTGCTGGGTTCTGATGTCTGGGCTCCTTGGCAAGAGTCCCATTGCAGCAGAGGCTGTGTCATCTTCTCTGAACCCATGTAATGTCAGCAGTGGGATGAGTATACAGTGGGTGCTCAGTATGTGCTTTCTTCACAGATCTGCTGATTGAATAATATGAGGGGAAGGGACATGAAGCCCAGGTAGTTGAAGCAAACCAAAAGCAAGCTCAAAGTGGATTTTACCTGGAGTGTCCAGTCGGCATTGCCTTCTTAGGACTGTGTTTATGAAACATTCAAGGCTCAACCAATCCCATAGCTACAAATGAAATTCACCTTATCCTTGAGCCCCAAATGCCTGCGCAGCAAAGGTGATTTTACAGAAGGCTGAAAAGATGGGAACAGAAGAATAGGCACTTCAGTGGTCCCGAACCCCAACCCTGTTCTGTCGGAACTAGTGGTCATCCGTGCCCACTTGAGAGATCTGTTTTGATCTCTGAGACTTTAGAACAGTAGACAGTGTGATGGGAAGGGAAGTGTTTTAAAAGAGGGTCCTTAGGGCCAAAAGGATGAAGAGGAACTCCCTCCTACCCAAGTTTTGGGCCCTTGAGGCTGACTGAAGGGGCCGATGGGAGAGCTGGCAGTTCTCGGTCAAGAACAGGCTGAACTCGGAGCATTGAGGTAGATAGGTTAATGTTCCTCTAAAGCAGGGGTCAGCAAGCTTTTCTATAAATTGCCAGGTTGTAAGCATTTTAGAGACATCTCTGCCGTCGTAGCTCAGAAGCAGCCACAGTCCAGACGTAAAACCAGAGAGCGTGGCTGCGCTCCAGTGCAACCACGTCTGGGCACTGAAATTTGAATTTCGTATTTCACATCTCACAAACCAGTATTCCTCCTTAGATTTATTTTAACCATTCCAAAATGTAAATATATATATATATATATATATATATGTATGTATGTGTGTATATATATTTTTTTTGGGGGGGGGGGCTCACCAACCATACAAAACCTGGGTAGATGCAGCCCATGGGTTGCAGTTTCTTGACTCCCGCCCTAAGGAGCAGTGATGGAAACACACCAGCCTTTACCTGCGTTGAAGAAGTCTGATTTGAGTCTCTTACCTCTGGTCTTGGTCTGTTCTCTCGGATTCCAGATGGGCGCCTCTCTCTTCGCCAGTAACATCGGCAGTGGCCACTTCGTGGGGCTGGCCGGGACCGGAGCGGCTTCAGGAATTGTCATTGCCGTGTTTGAATGGAATGTAAGTGACAGCAGAGGCTTTTTCCTTTAAATTAAAAAAAAAAAAAACACCTCTATCCAGTTATGTTTTTCTGGGATTCTGTGTAGGATAAACTCCTCTTTGGTATGATTTCTGTGTTCATTTTAATGCATCCCTTCTTTGAATGCCAGGGCCTTGCCTGTGTGGCCCTGTTCCGCCTGGGCCACATCAGGCACATCTCCTACCTCTGAGGTGTTGCTCAAGCAATTATTCCCACTGGGATCCCACTTCCACTCGGCCTCCTTGATCATTTTAGCTCTCACTTGTATCTCTTCTCCCTGATCTGCTATGTGTCGGGCTCTAAATTAGATGCAGCAACAATAAAATGTAAAAGCAACGGTCCCTTCTGTTGAGAAGCTTATATCCCAGTGGGAAAGCCAGATATGCATTCACTGCAGTATAGATGGTACTAGGAGGAAAGCAGATATGGAGTCTTGAGAGATCTCCCACAGGTCAGGCATCCATCGAGATGATGGGTAGGGCTTGGCACAGGGCGAGGGAGCTTCCTGGTGCTGGCGCCAGGTGGCTGCATAGAAACTGACCAAGGGGGGCCTGACTCAGGAAGTGACAGCAACAGTAGGTAGAATCTACAAGACTTTATAATTGAGTTCTTGATCATCCTACTGCCGTTTCATCAGTAGGAGCTCTGTCCACTTAATTAGACTCTAAGTGTTTTTATTTTTTAAGGTAGTTTATTTATTTTGAGACAGAGGGGAAGGGAGGGAGAAAGAGAGGGAGCAAAACATCAATGTGCGGTTGCCTCTCGAGAGCCCCCACTGGGGCACCTGGCCGGCAACCCAGGCACGTGCCCTGACTGGGAATCGAACTTTGGCCCTTTGGTTCGCAGGCCAGCACTCAATCCACTGAGCCACACCAGCCAGGCCTGGACTGTAAGTGTTTTGAAGACAGGGGCCATCTCTTCTCATGTCACTTATACCACCCCATCATCTAAGACTCAGCTGGGCACATGCCATAAATACTTCTTGAGCTGCTTAAGTTTTTTCTGTTCTTTTCCCTTATCCTTTCTTGTGTTTGTAAGTTCGTGTGCCTGCATATCAGTCAGAGGGAGATGCTTATGTGGAAGAAAACTGGATCATGATAATAGTAGGGACAGACCATCTCTGCATGGACTCTGGAAGTGACCTTGACTCATTACAAATCCCACTGCCTCTCCCTCATTGCAGATGTTGCCCCTAGTTTTACTTCAGCAGTATCAGGGACTCCGGAATGGACTCAGCCTGCAGAGGCAGGGACAGAACACCCTATGGCCCCAGTGGGTGCAATAATAAGGCTACCAAGAGCCTGGTTCTTTTAGCCTATGACCTTCGGCTTTCTGTAATCTCAGCTTTTCCCTTCATAAGACAAGAATAACTTTGCTTATCGTATCTGCTTCAGCTGTTGGCTGTGAGGGCAGCACGAGTGATATACATGAAGACTTTTTAAACATTAACATAACTGCAAGATTACGCTATCATCATAGTTATAAATGGAAGGACCCAGGGAGCACTGGGAATATCCTGCACCTCCAAATTTCTTGCTCATTGCATCACTCTGTATGTCACTCCTGCCATTCATGAATAGTTCCTTTTGGCAAAGATTGTATGACCTCCCAGCGGTCCACCTGTCCTCAGGCCCTTCTCTTCTGTTCATTTTTCACTGTGCATTTTTGTCACATCCTGAGCCCCAGGAGTTTCACGAACTCTGAATCATGAAAACAGAAAAGAATCCACAGCTGTCTGCGGATGGATCATAATGGGTGGAAGGTGACAGGATCCAAGCAAACCCACAGCAGGTCCTCGAAGAGCATCGTCTGTTCAGTGTCGTTTCATCATAATGTTAATGAGAAAGTATTTGACTCCTGGCGGGGCCACTGTCCATGTGGAGTTTGCACATTCTCCCCACATCAGTGTGGGTTTTCTCAGGGTACTCCTGTTTCCCCCCACCTCCCAAAGAGCTGAGGTGAATTGGTGTGTCTGCCATGTCCTGGTCTGAGTGCATAGGGATGGGTGTGTGTGTGTGTGTGCACCCTCAATGGAAGGTGACCTGTGCAGACCAGGGTCCTGTCCCACACCCTGAGCTGCTCAGAGAGGCTCTGGCCACCTGTGGCCTTGAACTGGAACAAGCAGGTTTGAAAATAATAATCTTACTCGTTTTTATTCATCTTTCTTTAATGTATGTATAGTTCAAACTTATTTTAATGACCAGAAATGACCATACAAACTGATCTCTTGTTTATATCAATATGCCTATGGGAAAATTGGTTTTGTTATATGTCATTTCCTTTATAGTCGCCGTTTCCAAAAACCTATCAAGCAACCACAAGTGAGGACTCACCGTATTTGATTTTCACACTCTGAGCTCATGAAGTGACAAGGCCCACAAGCCAAGTCTCTCCAATGTCACGCTCTCTTCTTGATTTCTTGTAGGCCCTGCTGCTGTTGCTGGTCCTGGGGTGGTTCTTTGTGCCCATATACATCAAGGCGGGGGTGAGTAATCACGGGTGTTCTCGGCACACCGGTCAGGCATTTGTTCATTCGCTCATTCTTTCTGCCCAGTCATGAAACCTGGGGCATACTGTTGGTCCAGCATTTCTGGGCTTACGTGAACAAAAACCTACTAAGTGCTGCCAGACTGCTCTGGCAAATGGCTGCAGCCAGCCATTCCCAGATCATCGCTACATGTCCCCACGTGTTCACTGACTCATGGCTTTTTTCCTCATTCTAATGTTTGCTCTTTTGACATTTGTAAAGTGGTTTCTTTTTTAAATGAGGGTAGAATACACCACAGCTAGAGTGGCTCTCCTTCAGCCTGGGCTTGGCCAGCTCATTGGGGCACTGCTCTGTCTCTCTGAGCCTTGCTCCCACATTTATTCCTTCTACTGCTGACACTCAGACCATGGGTGCTGTATCCTGAAATAATCCCTGAGACGAGGTGCTCAGGGACAAGCCTTTCGGGTCATCTCTCCTCAGATCACTGTACATTCCCCTTTTGCTCATCCCGGGTCCCTTCCAGCTCCAGGCTTGAACAAGGCTCACTGGACGATGCTGTCCTTGGTATGAAGACCTATAAAAATAATGATAACTGGAGCCACTTTAAAATAGGGTTGGAGCTGCCATCCCAAAGGAACTAACTGCCTTCAAGCCTTGAACCTTTGGAATGTTAAAAGAGAGCAAAGCAACCCTTGGATTGGGTCTAAAGCAACTTTGCATCCCCAAGAACTGTTTGCAAGGATAGCAGGTATCTGAAGAGAGCAGATATTCTGACTGCTGGGCTGATGGATATGGGACTGAAAATTAAAAACATTGTGTATAATCAGATCACAATGTTAGCCTTCCTGCAGCAATAGAAATGTCCCCTTCTATTGATGTAATTGTTCTCATTCCCTTTCTTATAAATACCTATTGCCTTTATCTCCTAATCCAAACATTTCTTGGATTTCTGCCTGAATCGATAATTCCCAAATAGCTATTCTTTGGCCTCAAATAAATGCTTATTGCCTCTCACTTTGAAAGGCCTTTCATTTTTCTTTTTTAAAAGATTTTATTTATTTATTTTTAGAGAGAGGGGAAAGGAGGGAGGAAAACATCGAATGGTTGCCTCTCACATGTCCCCAGCTGGGGACCTGGCCCACGACCCAAGCACATGCCCTCACTGGAAATCAAACCAGCAACCTTTCAGTTTGCAAGCTAGTGCTCAATCCACTGAGCCACATCAGCTGGGGCAAAAAGCCTTTTATTTTTAGGTTAACAGACCCATCCCACAGAACTCATGGGTCTTGGGTGTGGCTTACCATCTTTCAGGGCACCCTCACAGTTTCTGAACCACCAAGAATTCCCCTTGTTTTTTGGTAATATTGTGTAAATATTTATTTAACATTCTTTTACATGAGGGAGATTAAATCATGAGCTCCGTCTGCTGTGATGCACCAGAAAGCTGCACCTTCTATGCTATGCCTCACAGTCCACATCGTATTTCAGTACTGACAGCTACAGGCTTTTCTCTAAGTGGGAATTTAATGTAACTCTCTTCTTTCCGATGAAGAGAATCATATAAACATATACCCAAATGTATATTTGCAATTTATTCAATGATCAATTTATTATGTAACAATAATTGTGATTTATTACTTACAAGTAATGTTTTTGCTAGACTGTCACATTATTGGTGAAGACAATGAAAATTATTTGTTGAGTGTTTACCATGCATGTGGAGGTGGTGTAGGTATTTTACATGAAAACCCTACATTACAGATGAGAAAATGGAAGTTCAGAAAGAGAATCATTTGCCAAATGTTACACTTCTAGTACAAGTCAGAGCTGGGAACACATCCCAAGACTGTCTGGTCCCAGCGTCTGTGTTCACTCCAGCCTTGCCGCTGTCTCGAAACACTGTGCCTTTCTCACTGGGATTCCCCGAGGGGCAACACACAGGCTCACCTGTGTGTTGCATAGGTGCAGAGTAAATGTTGAATAATAGGAACGTGCTGGACCTGCAGGTGCATCCCTATCAATGTCTGTCTCTGCAGGTGATGACCATGCCGGAATACCTAAGGAAGCGGTTTGGTGGGAAGCGACTCCAGATCTACCTCTCTCTCCTCTCCCTCTTCATCTGTGTGGCATTGAGAATCTCAGTGAGTTCGGTGCTCCTGGCATTGTAGCTTCACAAGGTTGCCGCAATGGGGCTGGAGGGCTAAGATCAGACAGCTGGGTGTGTGTATGGTCTCTCACTATAAACAGGGTCAAGCAGTGTGCATGTCTCAATCTACCTGGGGTGCCCCCACCAGGTGTTTATGGGGGAAAGCAGCTTCAGGGACCCTGCTCTGAGTACACAGAGTAAAAGACTTATAAAGTCATGAGAGGCTATACAGTGTACGCCCACCCTTTTGTTAAGGATATGGAAAAATGGATGCACAGAAAGAACGGATGTCTGGTTCAAGTAGCACAGCCATTTATTAGTAAGAAAGAGAAGGGTTCTCTGGTCCCCTGCTCCTCCTCTGCACGATAACCTCTTCATTCTCTTTGTCTGTATTTTCATTTTCACCTTGATTACCTGACATGTGAACCAGCAGGAAAGTGCTTTGTATTATTATACTGATTTTCCTTACATGTATTTTATATAAGACCGCCCCTACAAAACATATGTCACAAACGAGGTTTTTTTTTTAATTAAATTCCTTGGAGATAATCATTAAGGAAAGAAGAAAGGAATTTGAGGATTCAGCAGCACGTGTAGAAAACAAAGAGTCACACATCTGTTTCTCAAGTATCAGTGACTACTGAAATAATCTCCTCAAGTTCATAGTCTAGGCGGTGCATGAGGGAAGAAGCTAAGCCCCACTATTGCTCTTCTGTTGACCTGACTCGTGGCTGGAAGTAAACCAGATGTTAGATTAGATGGCACGAGCCCTCCGAAGGCAACGTGAGCATTTTCCAGCACTCGCCGTATATTGCTGAGCACCATGCCAAGGGTAACAAAGACTCCTGCACACGAGGAGTTCACCATAGGGTTCAGGAGATAAGAATTTAATCATGAAATTGTTAGCACTTTATGATAATATGTGCAAATGAATTAAATGTGAACTTGAATAGACTGTGTGGACAAGCATGGGAGGTACACTATGGATACCCAGGAAAGGGGGCATCTTCAGCTGGGTGGAAATGAGAGTCATCCTCATGGGGTCCTGGGGGGAATTAAACAATCCCCCGGGACAGGAGGGAGGAGAGGCCAAGGGAAGCAGGGCAGCTTGCCATGATCCACAAGTGGGTGGGACTCCATGATCTCGCAGTCCTCCTCTGGCTCTGACCTCTGCAACCTCATGGTCCTAAAGGGTGTGCACCAGGTGCTAGAGCAGAATGGAAGTGGCTGAAGGGGCCCCACGGGGTGCAGCCTCCTGTGGTGGAAGGATCCAGGTGGTGGGGAGCAGATGGCATGATGGGGAGCAGAATGGAGTTGCAGGGAAGGCCAAGGGCACATCTGTGACTAACCAACCGTGCAGGATCTGTGGTTGGCTGGCAAGATACAATAGCAGGAGCCCATTCTCACTTACAAGGTTATGTTCTAAGTGATATTAATAGTGATTAATCTTATGTACGACCTTCTGTGTACTGCTACACTCTGATAACAGCTTGCGTCCTGGTTACTTATTACACAGACCATTATGAGGAGTTAGGACAGGATAGCTTTCACGGTCCTCCCCTGCCCCGGGTTTGGAAAAAATCATCTTGTTCACTGGTTCTCAGGCTTTAATAATACATGTATTGAGAATCATTGCAGAGATGGAGCAGCTTTACTCCTAAATATTACAGCCTGTGTGCTTTAAAGATACAGTTATTCTTTAAGAAAACCTCACTGCAAATTTTAAAATCCAGGAAATTAACTCTGATACAAACTAATATGTAACCTACAAACCTTGTTTGGATATCGACCATTGTCCCAATGTCCTTCAAGAGCAAAAGGATATCCTGAATCGTGAAGTGCTTCTTTTTTTTTAAGATTTTATTTATTTATTTTTAGAGAGGGAAGGGAGGGAGAAAGAGAGAGAGAGAAACATCAATGTGCGGTTGCTGGGGGCCATGGCCTGCAACCCAGGCATGTGCCCTGACTGGGAATCGAACCTGTGATGCTTTGGTTCGCAGCCCGCACTCAATCCACTGAGCTACACCAGCCAGGGCAATGAAGTGCTTCTTTTTTTAGAAATATTTTATAATCATTGAAAATATAATTAATCCCATTGAACTACACGTGATAAAATAGTTCAAATGGCAAGTTTTATGTTATAGATGTTATCACAATTAAAAAGTCATTAGTAATATAAGCTATTTATATATAATTTTAAACCATCATAGTTTATATAGTACTTAATTGCACTATATAAAGAAACACAAATCAAGGAATTCATAATAAGATAATATGTTTTGTATGTAAATGACCAGGCATGAATGCACAAGTCCTAATGCCCCCTCCCTACCACCACCTAGAGTGCGGAAGCTGTGATGCAGATAGATGCAGGTATGCTTCACAGCAACTCATACAATGATTGACATCACAATAGGTGATATCTTTTCTGAAAAGCTAAATAATTTTTTAGTAAGTATCCAATTTTGTAAAAAATACAGTCTCCCTTCCATTTCCACAGTAGTTACATGCCTTAAAAACCCAGTGATGACAAAGTTGCAGGAAGTACTTTGTGTATGTCACAGAGTTAGTTTCCAGGCTCAGAGGCTTTTCACCGAAACGTGTGTCTGGTGAGATGATAAACGACAGGTTTTATTTCAAATGTTAGGGAGGAAAAATCTACCCTGTCCTGTGACACCTCTTCCAAACCCAAGTTCTACAGAGAAACCTGCCTCTGACTCGTCTGGTTCTGCATCTTGCCACCCTACCGTTTTCCCTCACCTCGCCCGTGCCTTCCTGCCCCTTAGATTCCATGGTCCACCAGCACATAGTCTCGGTCAGTCTCTGCCTGTCTCTCCTTCCATGGAGCTCCCCTAGCAAATCTCCAGCCCTGGGAAGTCCAGTCTCCCACTTAACACTGTGCCCGCACCCAGGGATATTGCTTCTGTGCTTCTAACCAACCTGCTATTTCTCAGGTTTTTGGTTTGGTTTGGTTTGGTTTGGTTTTGTGGTTTTGATGCAGAGCCCTTGGGGATCAAAGTTGAAGGGACAGATCCAAGTGGGGCCAGCATAAGTTGTGTTGAAATCTCAGGAAAACTGGGAAGCACATTCTGGGGACCCAGGGGCCATGCAGAGCTGGGTGGACATGATCTTGCAGCATAAGGTGCTTCTGCAGAACTCCCTCTGACTTCTAAACCTCAACCAATAATCCTTTCGTCAGTGGGTTTTTATGATATATTCACCCCTGGTTCTTTCAATGACTGTTTCAAACCCTCCACAACTTTTTTTAGCTCCTGGACCTTTGCCTCTTACCAGAAATCCTCATCCCTTGCTTCATCTAGAAAATATAGGCATGAACAGCTAATCCTCCCAACCCATTTACATAATGTACATTTGTTTCATTCTTTTCTTCTGAAGATGAGGAGTCAAAGGTCAACCCTCAAGCTGTGCCTTTTTTAAAAGATTTTTATTATTTACTTTTAGACAGAGAAGAGAGGGAGAAAGAGAGGGAGAGAAACATCAATGTGTGGTTGCCTCCTGAGTGCCCCCCACTGGGGACCTGGCCTGCAACCCAGGCATGTGCCCTGACTGGGAATCGAACTTCGACACTTTGGTTTGCAGCCTGGTGTTCAATCCACTGAGCAACACCAGCCAGGGCAACCTGTGCCTATTCTTGATCTCATCTCTTCTTAATGTCTCTGGTTATTTGCTTCATAATTACTTCCCCCTCCTGTCATTATGTTTTACCTCCCTTTCTACTCCCCTAAGCACTCTCAAGTATCTTCCTAACAATAACCATGGTCTACTCTGTGACTCCTCCATCTACTATTCTAGTTCTTATCATTGTTTCTCTACTGACCATGATGAAAGAGTAGTCCACACAAGCTGTAGTGTAGCCGCTTCTCACTTTCCAGCCACTTGCTCATCATTCCTCTCTGTGGTCCATCCAATAATGGTCATCTGAGGATGAGATCTGGCTTCCAAGGAGTTCATAACTGGACTGCAGAGGAGACACATGTAGCTACAGTACATGCTGGTAGTAAGCCATCTGTGAAGAGCTAAGTGATGCAGCGCATGTTTCTTTTCCATCCTGACCATTCCCTTTGTAGTCAGACATCTTTTCTGGAGCTATATTCATCAAGCTGGCCCTGGGACTGGACCTTTACCTGGCAATCTTCATCCTCTTGGCTATCACTGCTATCTACACAATCACTGGTGAGTTCAGCTCAGTCATGCTATCTTCTGCTCACATCACCCCCACCCCCACCCCCGCTGCAACTAACAACCTCAGTGTTAGCCCAGTCAGTGCCAAGGTAAGGATATTCCTTTATTCCCACTCTGAGAATCATGCACAGCCTAGAAACACAACCAGAGCAAAGGAAACAGAATCTTCAATATTAGGTATGAACACTTGGATCAAGGGTAATGATGTGGTAGGTGAGGCAAGGAAAGAAATACTAATTTGGTTCATCTATGCGGACTGGCATTTGGAATCCTGTGTACAATACCCATGGGAAGTAAGGATGAAATAGCATCTCAGACATGAGTCTGGTAAATCCAAGGCAGGGCCCAAAGAAGTGCAGGACACCTGAGCATTGCGGTGGGCTCTGAATGGCAGAATCGGGAATGGAGGACTGGAACAGTGGGTTGGTCGTTCAGAGACAGTATGAGGCAACAGTCCAAACAGGTTTTCCTGAACCAGATACCTTGGTGTAGTGTCTCATGTATACTAACTTATGGAAATTAAACTATTCCAGCTCAGTTGGAAAAAATAACCAAAAAAATATAAAAGCTTGAACAATCAAGACAGTTATGGAGCCATTCTCATGCATTGAGCATTTGTGTCAGACTATTCGGGGCATGAATCTCCTATTTTCAGGATCAATCTTTTCCCACGACTCTCCCATAAAGGAAATGTCTCATTGACTAAGAGTCTAGTGAGTCTCAAGTCCAAAGAGAAGTTGCTGGTGATGATGATGGTAGAACAACATTACAAGAAAACACAAGTCAACAATAATACCTTGTATTTAATTAATGAAACAATGATATGGTCCAACACTAGAACAAAAATGACTTCACCTGATTTTTTGAAAACAGGTATATGCTGTGCTAAATAGAGCAGATTGAGGAATTGTTAGGGGAAATTTTCATGATATTAAAACATTGCCATTTCCCCTACTTAATAGTCAAAAACTCACACAAAGATAGAACTCCACTGTACTTCACAAAAACTCTGAGTCAAGGCCAGGCATGGAAGACAGAAGGATCAATGAGAGACATACCTTCTCAGGAGATAATGATGCCAAGAGGAGCTTGTGGCCCAGCCAGGAGCTTTCCTTTTGTTCTCTGCTGAGTCATTTCCAGTGTTTGGGTAGAAGAGGACTTAGAGGTGAAGGCCAGTAGGCCAGGGCACCTGAGTGAAATATCCTGGTTCTTTTTTTTCTCTCCACAGGGGGCTTGGCCTCAGTTATTTACACAGACACCCTCCAGGCCTTCATCATGCTGATAGGTTCTTTCATTCTCATGGGGTTTGGTAAGTGATGACGTGTGACCAGAGCCCTGGGGCTAGAAACCAGGGGACTTGTTTCTGTTCAGCCCGTCTGCTCTTGACTGCTGCCTCCCAGTTCCACCTGGTCATATTTTCCAGTCATTTATACAATTCTCATCATTGAAATGAATGCCTAACTTCTTTCTTGCTGTACTATCTCAGCATGAAGAAATGAGGGAGAAGTGCTGAACTTCCTTTAAAAAATATGGCTCAGGTAAATGATCTTGCTTAATCTTAATATCTTTGTCTTCAGAATGGGCAAAAATATTGGTGTGTTGCATACAATGCACAGAAACCCTTCATTTACATAAAGTCTTCATATAACAAAACATTAAACATTCAAAAAAATTAAGATAACTGAATATGAACTTTAATATAACTGTTTTGTTTTGGATGAAAATTGTTTAAATGCATTGCTCACTCTATTGTTAGAGCCTATAAAAAACAGTTAGATTTTCTTTTGTGACTCCCACTTATTTAGTATCATCACTTGGTTTTCTTGAGTAAGTCATACCAACAAGTACCACTGATGACTCTCATTTACAGCTTGCTACTTTTTGTTTTCTTTTCTTATGACATTTGTTTATCTTTGCATAGGAAATACATGCACACAGTAAAAAGGATATGGGATCAAATGTCTCTTTATCCCTCCCTTGTCCTGCAGCCACCCTGCTCCCTCTACTCAAGCTGCTCTGTGTACAAGTTTGCATAGGCATGTACCACATCACAGAGCTTGAAAATACGTGAAGCAAAAGCTGATACAACTGCAAAGACAACAAATTCACAATGAGACATGGATGTCATTAGTCACATATGGCTACTTATATTTAAATTAATTAAAATTAAAAATCTAGTTCTTCATTTGCCTAGCCGTATTTCAAGTGCTCGGTATAAGACTAGCGTTTCCATACCACACAGCACAGATATAGAACAGGTCGTTGCAGAAAGTTCTGCTGCCCAGTGCTGCTCCAGAGGCAACAACTGGGATCGATTCCTTATGATCTTTCTATTTAGTTAGCCAGAACTTCTGTGCTCTACTTGTTCATAGCTCTTTGGTTGCTGGTCTCAGTGAGGCAGTGCCTACCACCAGCCTCTCTAAGTGTCACTTCTTACATCCTTAGGATGAGAATGGGGGAGTCCCTCACTTCCTAGGGTCCCTCTTGTGTGTTTGTTACAAACCATATTCCTCTTATCAGAACAATTTCTTTGTATTGTCAGTACCCTCCTCTTGGCTGAGTTCCTGCCTTGCATGTTCATTTTGTTCGTGCTCCCAGTTCCATGTCTGCACATGTGAGCATATTGATGATCAATTAAATAAATAATGGAGTAGTAAATTAATGTCAGCCTTAACCCTACAGCTGCATCAATGAATTGTGCATCTTTTGAGCCTGTACTAAGTGTCCCCAGATGCCTGGGCTCATCTTTCTTGGGTTTCCCTCCACTACGGTGCTCTTCTGTACCTGTCTAGCCTTTCCAGGCCCCACAGTGGCCGAGTCTCTCCGTTTCCCTTTACCACACATAATCTGCTGCCTCCAATTTCTGCTCCTTATCTTTCCATTTTTTTATTGTGACATAGGTAGAATATAGTATTAGGCTAGAAAATCTGACTAAGCGTAAAGTCAGACCCACCAGGCTCTGTGTCAGGAAGAGAGGCCATTGCTTCCTGGCCCCTTCAGAGGAGTTGGGACTTTCCGAGGGTTGATTTTGTGAGGCTCACTCTGTTAGCTCACCTTCAGGTCTGTTTCTGATCTGATGGTTGTGAGACATCAATATCAGTCTGCTGGATTGCAGTTTCATTCTTACTATGAGGTTAGCTACTAAATCAAATTTTTCAAAAGCATCATAACAAGAAGAGTTAAAGGGTGACTCACTTTATGAACTTTGTGAAAGTCAATCCGATAGTCAGTGCCCCGATAGTCACAGGTCCTGAGAGAAGGATACTGAGAATATGCTCAGGCTGATTGGAGGTGCTTGAGTACCTCCCCCATAATCCAATAATCATGAAAACCAGGAGTGTGTTACATTTCCATGAACCGTTTTATTTTATCCAATGCCTTCTCAGCATTTACCGAAGTTGGAGGTTATGAGAGTTTTACAGAGAAGTATATGAATGCCATCCCATCCATAGTCCAAGGGGACAACCTGACCATTAGCCCCACCTGCTACACTCCTCGGGCAGACTCCTTCCATATTTTCCGAGATGCTGTCACCGGGGACATTCCATGGCCAGGAATGATATTTGGAATGACCATCGTAGCGGTGTGGTACTGGTGCACTGATCAGGTAAAGACTGTGTGTGTGTGTGCGTGTGTGTGTGTCTGTGTGTGGTATGTGGTGTGAATATGTGTATGTTCTTTTTCTTCTCCTAGAAAATCATACAGTTTCTATTTTGTATACACACAGGGGCACACACACACCCCATTTAAAAATTCAAACACTTCTACAAGGCTAATTGTGCAAAATAGCTGTCTGGTGTCCCTCTTTCTTATCCCTCAAAGGTAAAAACCATTAGCTCCTTCAGTTACTTACTTTGGTATGTATTTCTATTCCCTAAACCCTGGGACTCATTGTGTGGTCTGTGAAGCATTGCCATGAATGACACCTTGGAGCTCATTAGAAATAAACCCTCTCAGATGCTATGCAGACCCATTAAATCAGAACTTGCTTGTGAACTTGATCCCCAGGTTATTCAAATAAATGCTTATATTGCTACCTCTCAATTTTCCAGTTTTAGGATTTTTCTATTGGCGTCTCACCCTAAATAGATTCTGGAAGCTCAAACTTGTTATTCCACAATGTTAACCCATCTTGGATCAATGGTCACTTGTGATATTAGTGTGGATTGATTTTCTTTTTATAATAAACTGATTTTTCTCAACATATTTACCAAAGAATGCATACTTTCACCATTGACTTGTAGAACCATCTTTATTATTTTTATAGGCTTTTAAAAAAGATTTTATTTACTCCTTTTTAGAGAGGTGAAGAGAGGGAGAAAGAGAGGGAGAAAAACATCAATGTGTGCTTGCTTCTCGTGCACCTCCTCCTGGGGACCTAGCCTGGAACCCAGGCACATGCCCTGACTGGGAATCAAACCAGTGACCCTTTGGTTCACAGGCCAGCACTCAATCCACTGAGTCACACCAGCCAGAGCCATCCTTATTATTTATATGTTGCCTCTGACCACCTGACTTCCCTTCTACATGTGGTGTCACATTCACCCTGAGTTGTGATGCCTGACCCTGCTTGTCTGCTCACAGGGCACCCTCCTCACCTCTAATTTGTGTTGTCCCTCCAACTGCCTGCTTCTATCCCTCTGTCTAAACACATCACCTGCTCCCCCAGCACTAACTGACACAGCTGCTACCCCTCCAAAAGAATTGAAACAGAATCTTCTCTCCAAAAAGAACTGAACAGAAAAAGACATCCCAATTTTGTAACATTTCTAGAGAAGAAAAATATCAAGAAGTTATTCTGGCATTAGAGATGGAAACCCTGATTTGCTAGAAAATTCTTTGTTAGTCAAGAGATTGTACAACTTAAGTACAAACAATGAAATTATATAAATTTATTTTTCCAGAGCCATTGTATTTGATTTATAATTCAACGAGGTCCTCAGAATATTTTGTCTGATGAATGTCTCCGGATTCTCTTCTGATGGATGCCTAACTCTGGGGTTTCTATGGCAATGGTCTTGATTTCCCAAAAGGACAACTGCTCCTTAACAATAGAGAGACACTGATGAGTATGTAGCTTATTTAGTGCCTAAATTATTAAAGGTGTGACTTGTTGCAAGAATCAGTATTGAGGGCTTTGGACCTGGAGGAGCAAATAGCCATTGGTGTAATGCAGCCTGGAAACTATAAACATATCTTAATAGTAATAATGTGTATTGAATTCTATGTACCAAGAGTCTTTTATACACATTATACCAAATATTCAGGATATTACATGACAGGTAACCTTATGTAGAGATGAGAAACCTGAAATTTGCAGAACTCAAACACTCATGTGAGAGAGCAGGGGTTCGTTACTTTCCTCCAAAGTTCATTATTCTCTAGTCATCATCCCATTTGTCACTGTGACATTAATTCCTGAAAAGAGGCACTCCCTTTCTTTGAACTCATGCTCTGGCTGTCTCACGATGGAGTGGTGTCCCCTGGCAGGTCATCGTGCAGCGCTGCCTCTCAGGCAAGGACATGTCTCACGTGAAGGCCGCCTGCATCATGTGCGGGTACCTGAAGCTGCTGCCCATGTTCCTCATGGTGATGCCTGGAATGATCAGCCGCATCCTGTACACAGGCAAGTCCCGCATCCATCCATGCTCATTTTTTTACGTTTGAATCACAAATAGTGATTTTTAAGATGTATTAAAACCTTCATAACTAGAAAACATATTACGTAGGGAAGTAAAAACAAAATTTTAAGTGAAAAGTAGAGATTGTGTGGGGGGTCAAATGCAAAAAAAAAAGAGAGAGAGAGAATTCCATGTTTGACATTCTGTTCTCTTATCCCTTTTATCCTGCATGCCTGTCTTTTTGTGGGCATTTGAGTCTGTTTTGTCCTGTTATCATGAGTGACTTGAACTGATGCAAGTTAGAGGGTGATGCAGGAGGATGAGGAGGAACTGGGGAGCTATGCATTAGGTGGCTGTGGTGAGCCAGTCCAGGACGTCACCACCTGAGAAGGTCTTGGTGGTGCCCTGTCGCTTGTTGGTCCCTCTAATACTGCTTTGGAATTGAGCTGTTTGGAATACTCCCATTTCTGAGTCAGCTGAGAGTAGCTACTAATGTTGAAAATCTTCCTTAAAAACTTTGACATGAAGAGTGAAGGAAATATAACAGAATATTTCTTGGTCAATCAAGACCTCTGGTTTTTAGGGGGCAATCCATCAGATAACACTGAATTCACTTCATGTTTTCCCAACTGGGCATTATTTATTTAGCTGAAAACTTGTTAAGATGAATATCAAATGGCCAACATCCCTTCTTATTGCAACATTGTAGGGTTGTCTATACCAATAAGGAATGTACAGATATTCAACAAGTAGGCAGTGGCCAAAGATACTATTGTACACTATACCAATACTTGGGAAAATGCTGAAGTTATTATGTTAGTAATGTAAAAAGCAAATTATAAAATATTATCTCAACAATTACAATACTTATGCAAAAAAGGCATTTCTCTCTGAAAAAGGATTAGAAAGGAATAAAAAAGTAAAAGAAGCTAAAGTGCTAAGGTGTTAGTATTCAGGGTGATTTTTATATCCATTTTTGCTATTTGTTTTCATAATGTGGTTTTAGCAAAAATATCACCAAGATATTGTGCAACTGCCTCATGAATGAGACATTATCCCACATGGGGCAGTCACCCCAACAACATCACAAGTGACACCTCTTCTTAGATGTGGGAGAAAGGTATTGGGCTAAATGATTGGACACAGGACTAACTTCCTGAGTGGTGGTGGTGTTTCATCTCTGGAGTTCTATGCTCCTGGGAGGATTTATGCTCTTTCACCTTTTCTGGAGGATGGAATCAGCTCCCTTTTTTGGCTCTAATGCTGTCTAGCTGAGCCATATGCCAAGGCAGAGCCAGCCCTGCCCCCTAGGTCAGTGCAAGGGGAGCTACAGCTTTGAGACACTTAGAAAGTTGTATTCTGGGCAAAGAGGAACTGGACTGGTTGTATGAAGTTCAAAGTTCAACGTCCAATTTCCAGGCAAAAGTCTTTCTTCTAACCCATGATTTTACAACTTGTCTCTACAAGTATGTCCAGTGGTTGTGGATCTTGTCTGTTTGGGCCCCACTCACTGAACCCATTTATCTGAATTCCTCTTCAGACAAGGTGGCCTGTGTTGTACCTTCTGAATGTGTGAAACACTGTGGCGTTGAAGTTGGCTGCAGCAACTATGCCTACCCAATGCTGGTGATGGAACTAATGCCTAATGGTAAGAAAATGTCCATGCTCAGATAAATGGACAAAGAAAGTGTGAAGATAAATGATAGATACATAGACACATAGATAGAGTATGGACCATGGAACTTTTCTTCACCCTCAAAAAGAAGGAAATCCTGCCATTTGCAACAATATAGGTAAGCCTAGAGGACATTGTGCATGTGAAATGAGCCAGACACAGAAAGACAAATACTGCTTAATATCACTTAAATGTGGAATCTAAAGAAACGGAGAAGTGGAATGGTGGTTGCCAGGGGCTGGGGGTGGGGGAAATAGGAAGATGCTGGTTGCAGGGTACCCATTATCAGTTATAATATGAGTAAGTTCTGGAGACTTACTGTGCAGCATGGAAACAATCATTAATAATGATGTACGGTAGACTTGAAATTTGCTAAGAGTATCAATCTCAAGTACTCTCACAACAAAACAAGATAACAGGAATTCTGTGAGGTGATGAATATATTAATTTGTTTGATTGTGGTAATCATTTCACAGTGTCCATATATATCAAAACATCACGTCGTACACCTTAAATACATACAATTGTTACTTGTTGATCATACCTCAATACAGCTGGGGGGGGGGAAAGAAGTATTCGTGTTGGGACTGCCTCAGAGGCCTGGTCTGTAAATGGGCCAGAAGGAAGGGTTATGGCATAATCCTTAATAGTTCTTACTTCCATTAATTCCATTGTCTTCATCAGATGTTTCTTGAGCACCTTCCATAGGCTACCAGTTCCACACTGGGTCTGAGAATAACAGAGATGAACCAGGTATAATTCCTATTAGAGGAATCCTTACTCCTTGAAATTCAAGATTTTCTTCCAAAACAGTCAGGATTATTTAAATGATGGATTCGTCAATAAAAGAGCTTTGTAGCCCCAAGCAAACAACCAAACAAAATAGAAACAGACTCACAGATACAGAGAACAGACTGGTGGGGGGTTGGGGGACTGGATGAAGGTGAGGGGATTGAGAAGTACAGATTGGTAGTTAGGAAATAGAGGGATATAAAGTACAGCATAGGGAATATAGTCAATATTATTGTAATAACTCTGAATGGTGCCGAGTGGATACTGGAAATACCAGGGGGAGCACTTTGTGAAATATATGATTGCCTGACCACTGTGCTATACACCTGGAACTAATACAAAATAATATTGAATATAAATTGGAATTTAAAAATTAAAAGAAGAGTTGCATCATCATAAACTTATAAACCAGAGGACTAGAGGTTAATTATTTATCCTTGCTTTCTTTAGACCAGTGATACCCAAATAATAGACCTCAATTTATTTAACTTACAACTATTTGTTGAGTGTCTACTATGTCCCAGAAACCGTCCTGGTGCCTAGAAAACATTAGTGAAGCAGGCACAAAGTCCCCTATCCCTTGGAACTCACATTCTACTTTCAGGAAATAGAAAATAAGCTGCACGTGTGAAATAAGTAAATGACTAGGATGCAGAAGGTGATCTGCTGTGATCAGAAAGAGAGCCCATTGTGGGGTTCAGGAATGACCTAGTGACTTTGTACCTTAGGCCCCCCATTAAAGGACAGCTAACCCTTCTGTGACCTTTCTTTTCCCTGACACAAGAGCATTGTCAAGGGGAAGGGAGCACAACCCACGAGTGACATCACCCATCCACCCGTTCCACACTTTGACCAAGGATGTTTAGTGACATTTACTCAGAGGCAGAGGAAACTAAAGGATGAAGTTGCTATAATATCTCAAAATTCTTTGCTTGTCTCACCAAAGACTTCAACTTCAGAACCACCTGCTAGGCTTTTCCCTCTTCAGTTCCCTAAGTCTCCAGGAAGCCAACAGACCCACCAGAACAAAAGGTCCACATTTAGGTGCCAGCAAATGATTTCTAAATTTATATGTAGAAGTAAAATTCTGTACTGGATTATTATCAAATCACCAGCAATAGGCAGAAAATGCTACATGGTGGCATGTATTGATTTAAATGTCCCAAGTGACACTTTTACCTTTGAATGACACTCTAGTTTAGCAAGGTAGCCATAGATCACGTCATCCAATTCTGAACTAGTAACCGCATCCTCTTCTGTCCCCAGGGCTGCGAGGCCTGATGCTGTCAGTCATGTTGGCTTCCCTCATGAGCTCCCTGACCTCCATCTTCAACAGCGCCAGCACCCTCTTCACTATGGACCTCTATACCAAGATTCGGAAGCAGGCATCAGAGAAAGAGCTCCTTATAGCTGGACGGTGAGAGAATCCTGGTTTCTGTCTAAAAATTTCTCTGGAAAAGCAGAGATACGGAAGTGGAGTAGAACCTCCTCATCTTTAAGTTCAGAGAAACTAGTCATCAAGTTCTAGAGTGGGTAAAGGACATTTAATCCAACTTTATCCCTTTACAGATACAAAATTTGGGGCCATTACTTTCAATGAAATAGTTGCTTTTTCAGACTTTCAAATGCTTCTGATTGTCTCTTATTCCCCCCTCTCACGCCCTCTCCCAGCCACATCTTCATGAAATTACATCAGTGTTTTTCGTGGGGTATAAAGCTTCCACCTTCTGTCAGATTAGGGACATCCACACACTACTACAGAGGATTTTGCCAACTGCATTTACTAAAAAATGGGGTGTCACCCTGGCCAAGTAGCTCAATTTGTTGAGCATTGTCTCATACACTAAAGGGTTATAGGTTCAATTCCCAGTCAGTGCACATACCTAGGCTGCAGTTTCCATCTTCAGTCCATGCACATATGGGAGGCAATCAATTGATGTTTCTCTCGCATATTCCTCTCTGCCCCCCACCCTCTCTCCACCTCCTTCCTCCTTCTTTAAAATCAACGACCATATCCTTGGGCAAGGATTTTTTTAAAAGGGATATCAAGAGAAACTAATCACCTATTTAAAAGATCATGCTTTGTTGGAGATAGTAACAGTTGCTTTGGTATATTAACCACTTGGAGAAATTCCAAGGGCTCAGTTGGTCCAGATTTTGACTCTTCTGGATAAATGCCACAGGAGAGGAAAGCCTGCAAGGCATCTGTGCTCCTGCAGCAGAGAAAGTGTTGGACAGAATTCAGCAGGTCCAAGCTGCAGTAGACACTAATAGGTGTACAGTCCTGGATATGAACCCCCTTTAAGTCTCAATGATCAATTAATGAGTTTTTCTTTTCCTCTCTTTCTTATTAAATGTCTACTATCTCTCAAAATAAAAATATGAAAAATGACATATATATGAAAAAATAATTTCATGCCTCATGGAATTTACACCCTTGCGGGGAGAATAGACAATAAATATATTCTATACCTGATGACAAAAAGTGCTAAGAAGAAAATTAAACCAGGATTAAAGGGTGTGGCTACTTAAGACAGATGCTCAGGGAGCCCTCTCTGAGGAGGTGACATTCCAGCAGAGCCTTGAGGAAAGTGTGGAGGGAGCCCCACAGCCCAGTTCCAGGGACAATGAATGCTGCATTTCTCCACAGTTACATGCATGCTGTGTGAGGACAGGAGGTGAGGGGGAACATGAAGACCAAGTGCAGGAGTCAGTGACAGGTAACAAGGTCAGAAAGGTCACAGGAGTCGAGGTCATGTAGGCTCATTCCAGCCATAACAGGATTTTGGATTTTATTCTGCATGTGGCAGAAAACAACAGAAGATAAGAGAGAAAAGGAGGCACATAATTATCTTTCCAGTGATGATGACAATAATGATAGTAGGTGTTATTTATTGAATCTTGATTGTGTTCTAGGCACTGGGCTTGGGCTTCCCATGGTTCATCACGTTTAGTTATTGCAAGGTTGCAGATGCTTTGTAAAAAAGCTTAAATGGAGCCCTGGCTGGTGTAGCTCAGTGAGTTGAGCGAGGGCTGCGAACCAAAGTGTTGCAGTCAGGGTGCATATTCCCAGGTTGCATATTCCCAGTCAGGGTACATGCCTGGGTTGCAGGCCATGACCCCCAGCAACCGCACATTGATGTTTCTCTCTCTCTCTTTCTCCCTCCCTTCCCTCTCTAAAAATAAATAAAATCTTTTTAAAAATTTTATTTAAAAAGCTTAAATAGGACACTTGTGCCTCAGTCTCCTGCCCAAATGCTTGTCCCCTGTTTCTCCCAGTTCCCACCGTTTTAAGTGAACACAGACAAGTGATGACCTTTTACAGAGAATCCAGTAAATTATTATTATTTGTCTGTTCACATGACCAGCAGAGAAGAAGATTGTGCAGTTTAGCCAGCCATGCTCCCTGGCCCCTGGAGCCTCGCACAGATTTTCATTGCATATCAATATTTTAACCAGTTTTTTCCACCTGCCAAAGTATTCAAGTAGTGAAATGCACAAATTAGCATTTCTGACCAATTCGCTTAGCATTCTGGAAGAGAGGATATTTTTATCCTAAAGTGTGCAAACTGACTCATTTTCTCTCAAGCTAGGGGGAAAAAAGACCAAAATAGGAGTCTTCTTTCTGTATTGTACAAGTAATCCTTAGAAATAGTGTTGTGTTTTTTCAAATTGGTACAGCACATACATTGCATTAGAGAATTATTAGCCAAATGTTGACATTTGAGCTGTTTTTTATCAATGGATTCTTGATCTCATCATTGAAGCTATTATGGCTAATTGTAGGCAATCTCACTATTGCCATTTTACTGATGGATAATCATTAAGCATGACACGGCATGAGGACAAGGAGCTTGACTTCCTTTGGAAAATCAGTGAATGACTGCAAGAATGAATCCAAGAACTAAAGCACAATGGAAGTACCAATAATGCTTTTGTTTAATATTTAAATCATTTTGTTTCCTTCCCAGGCTCTTTATTGTTCTATTAATTGTCACCAGCATTTTGTGGGTCCCATTAATACAAGTGTCTCAAAATGGACAGCTGTTTCATTACATAGAATCAATTTCTAGCTACCTTGGGCCTCCCATTGCTGCTGTCTTCCTGCTTGCCATCTTCTGTAAAAGAGTCAATGAACAGGTAAGTGAAAATGGGGAAACTGTTTTCATGCTGCAGTGAGAAAAGAAATATGTCTTTCCCTGATGCATTCTTTCCACCCAAATTGTACAACTCAAGGCCCATCTCAGTTTCAGCTGTGGTCAGCCACAATTCCTGAGTCTCACCAAAGTGTGTGAATACAGGCTCCAGCACACATAATGCTCCTTTTTATTACAGTCATAAGCATGTAATTCTGTAACATAATACCACACTCAAGCACACCATATGACATTTCAGGTGAAATGTTCAAATTAAAACTATGAAGTATTGCCCTGGCTGGTGTGTCTCAGTGGATTGAGTACCAGCCTTCGAACTACAATGTCACCAGTTCGATTCCCAGTTAAGGCACATGCCTGGATTTTGGGTCAGGTCCCCAGTAGGGGGCGCTCAAGAGGCAACTGCACATTGATGTTTCTCTTCCTCTCTTCCTCCTTTCCCCTTCTCTAAAAATAAATAAATAAAGTCTTTTACAAATATCTTTTTAAAAAACTATAAATTATTACACCCATATCATTATTACCCTACCAATCACACTCAAGCAGGCCTTGCTCCTGTGGGACCCTGAATGCAGTGCACAGTCTTTATATTTCTTACAAAATATACACAGTCTATGGCACAGTGCCAGGGAACACAAGTTTTGGGGTGAGACTGCCAGGAGCCAATCCTGGCCCTCCCATGTAATGCCATTGTGATCCTAAACAAACCCTTTGACTCTCTGTAAAGTGAAAGTAATCACCGTGCCTATCCTATAGGATCGCTGTAAGGGTTTTAAAAGATTTTTTTAATGTGAAGTGCTTAGAAGAAAACCTACCTCACTAGTAATGGTTCAAAACACATTAATTTCCTTTATGATATATATAATTAATCATTATGGACCATGTACATTCAATGCCTTAATTGTTCCCAAGTGTTTACCTTATTATTATCATTTTCAGATGAGGAATAGGTGCAGGAAGTTAGTGTCAATGTGCTTTCCACACGTAACTTACTATTAGTGAGTAGGATCTTGGGATTCAGACTCACATCCTCCTCCATCCAAAGTTCGCACTCTTAGTCTCTATGTAATACTGTTTCCACTAAACATAACATCTTAGTCAGAGAACATCTATTTCCGCCTCCACCACTTCTCAGGGTAAATAAATGCTTTTAATTGTCAAAAGCTTAATAGAAGTTTTTAATATCAACCATTGTACAGTTATAAATATCATAACTGTATAGTTATAAATACAACTATTTAATATCAAATCTGCAAATTGTGTAACATACATCATAGTTCTGTTGATCCTACGGAATAAGTCACGGGTTCTTTAAATCTATGCATAAAATAACAGTCAAGGCAAACCTGATCGCGAGTCAGAGTGGACAGTACAGACCCCTCCATGCTCCAAAGCAGAGTGTCCCTGTGCCACCTTGCCTGAGCCAAAATGGGGTCAAGTGAAGAAGCATTTACTGTTAATTTACATGGGGAAACTTCTTAGCATTTCTAGACCCCCAAAATAATCTCTCTCAGGCTTTTCTGACACATTAGGACACGTGTTGCTAACGGAAGCACAAAACAAACGAAGATAAAGCACAGATGCTCCCAGATGCAGTTCAAATCCAGGGTGGGCTGATGCGAGAGGCCGAGCGTGGTGCCGGCTGAGCAGCTCGGCGGGTCGCTCTCATTGCTCCGGAGCACGCTGCCTCTCCAAGGGCTCACTGAAAAAACAAATGCTGGAGACTCTTTTCGTTTCTCACCTTTTTCCCTAAAAGTGAAAATCCTTTTTGAATTTGGTTGGTGAAAACAGGGACAATGGTAAAGTCTTTTGTAAAAGCAAAGCGGCGCATTAAGCAAACTTCTGAAAAGCAGGGGATACCTGCAGGGTCCCGCAGTTGGAGAATTAACAGTACAATAGTGTTTCAAGACCACAGAGAGCGACAGCCCCCTGGTAAACACCAGCGTTGGTGTCTTTTCCCTGCTTTGGTGATCTTGTGTTCAAGGTCAGGCATTTGTTGGTTCTTAGTGGAGAAAGCAGGTAGGATGATAATTATGACCTACTAGAACGGGCTTCTCATCATTTCTAACTACCCTGATTTTGTTCTTGCTTCTTTTGCAGGGAGCCTTCTGGGGTCTCATATTTGGACTTGTCATGGGCCTCATTCGTATGATTGCAGAGTTTGCCTATGGAACAGGGAGCTGCTTGGCCGCCAGCTACTGTCCGAAGATCATCTGCAGAGTGCACTATCTGTACTTTGCCATCATTCTCTTTTTCGTTTCCATACTGGTCATCCTGGGAATTTCCTTGCTAACAAAACCCATTCCTGACGTACACGTGAGTAATGAGTAATAGACACAGGCTTAGGGTAAAATAAGAGTTCTTTGCCTTCTAAAGCTTAGCTGGTGTACAAGTCCCAGACAACAGAATAATAGCACCGTTAGAGCTGGAAAGAACCTAAGAGTTACTCATCTCAACACATTTGCACCTAAAATGTCAAAGCACCAGTGAACTAAGAAATATGGAACTAGGACATGGACTTCATGCTCCAATTACTCCGCAGTGCATTTGGGAGGTAAACCTGAACATTCGCTGCAGGATGTCCGGAAGAGAGTAGTTAGTGTTGCCTAAGAGGCCGGCAAGTACTTCACAGCAGAGCTGCCTTCTGGGCTGGGCCTGCTTGGGGGCAGGTAGAACTTCTACACAGCACTAACACTGACACAGGGATTTTTTTTAAGCACATGGTACCAGGGGCAGGAAAAAAATAGAACAATAAGATATATATTTTTGCCTTTCAAATTGGTGAATAGTTTTAATGTGAATATGTCCAATGTTGGTGAGGATGTTGGCAAATGCCCATTCTCCAAAACTGCTGGTGAGTGTGTAAATTTCATAATTCGTAGAAGGGCAATACAGCAGTATTTATCCATTTTTAAATTCCCATGCCCTGTGAGTCAACAATCCCATTTCTAAGAGCTTATTATGTAGAAATACTTGTACACATAGGGAGAATATAAGAATAAAGATTTTTCTCTGCCAGAGGTCTCTAATAGAAAAAATGGAGTCAACCCAAATTTCCATTGCTAGTGGAATGGGTATACAGTGATAGCACATTATTACACAGCTGTTCAAAAACCTGAGTCATTTGTTTTTTTAAATGTCCATCATACAGTTAGTGGAAAAAACACTTGCAGAATAATATAGTATTGCATAATAGAACTTTTTGAAAATAAAATACATGTAAATACACACACACACACACACACACACACACACACACAGAAAAATCTTAAAGCATATACACTGGAAACTTTCCATAAGAGGTGCCTCTGGGAGAGGCACTATAAAAGACTAGCAAATACTAGTCCATTTTTTTTAAAGATTTTATTTATTTTTAGAGAGGGAAGGGAGGGAGATAGAGAGAGAGAAACATCAATGTGCGGTTGCTGGGGGTCATGACCTGCTACCCAGGCATGTGCCCTGACTGGGAATCAAACCTGCGACACTTTGGGTCGCAGCCTGCGCTCAATCCACTGAGCTACGCCAGCCAGGGCCCATTTTTTTATTTAAATGTTGTTTATATACTAATATTGTTTGAATTTATTACTAACATGTATAACTTTTATTTATTTTACATTTGCCACTAATAATTTTAAATCAATGCTTACTTGCACACTCCTGACAAATGGATTATATGCCAATGGGATAACCCGAAAAGCATGGTGTGATTCAAATTACTCCACCAAAAACATATCACTAGAATTTATAGCTAAATATTTACACTGAATATTGGGAGTCGAATAAAAAGGACACTAGAAAACACATTACAGTTTTCAAAGAAATGTTCAACTCTTTTATGCCAATCAAAATAACCATAATTTATTACAAATAATTAGAGAAAAATTTGTCTGAAGTGCCAGTGAGACTTATCTAATTTATGTTTATGTTTCATTTATATGCTGGGAGGTTTGAACTTTCCAAAGGGACTAATGAAAATAGTCATTTCAGAGAAAGCCATGAATGCATTGTGGACCTAACCTAGCAGTGCAAGACCAGAAAGTACTCAGAGTCCCAATAAAAGAGTTTTAACAAAGAAAGTGGATTTAGTACAAGAAATGCTATGATCAAGAACTTTATGAAGCTCTAATTAAGACTCTTAGTGACAAAGTCAAGCATGTGCTCGTTATGTCAACAACAAACATAAAGCCAACTACAAATTCCAATTCAGTCTGCACAAGGAAGTCATAGGTTAAATATGAGGCCAGTGAAAATGAAACATGACTTTGAGCATATGGTGGATTATAATGTTAAAAATGCATTTGACACTAGAAACAATTTTTTTATAGAATTTTCTTAAAACAGTTTTCTAGAGCTGACTGGTATTTAAATCATTGTGTCCAGTCACAGGTCATGAATCTGTGGCTCAACAAAGTTATATAATAGCATAAATGCTATTTACTTTCAAATGTTTTGTTCAGTATACAGACTAAGCATGGAAATCTTACTTATATTTACAGAAGACAATTAAAATTCTACAAAGATCGACAGTTTTAAAATAATGGTCAAGTTGACAGAAGTTTGGACGTGGTCTGGCAGATAGATGTGGAAGGGTGGAGATCTCTATCAGAAATCAATAATAGTACGTAGTTGCTATCTAGATATAACAGATCCAGAAATGGAACTTAAGAAGAAATTTAAAAATTACAAAAGTAACCACCAGACAAACTGCAAGGAATAATGATGTAGCTAACCACAATGGAATAATGGGACAGTGAGCGAAACCAAAGTATAATATATGAGTTAGATAAACCTTTGACTTTTATGGAATTATAAATCCAGAAGTAGGCATCTTAAACATATTATTTAAGAGGTTTTAATGAGTACCAAAATTAAGAATAGAAATAATTTAAAATAGTGTGTTTTTGTAAATGAGTGTAGAAGACCTTTTCTATATCTGTATTTTCCTGCTCTCTTGATTTTTTTTTTTGCACTACACAATAAATGTACCGTTGTGTTATTGTAAACCTTTGCTCCTCACTAAATGCACCTGTCTATGGCCTCTGGGCAGCTGTATCGCCTGTGCTGGGCCCTTCGGAACAGGACAGAGGAACGGATCGATTTAGATGCACAAGAGGAAAGACCAGAAGAAGCTGATGATCATGTTGATGGAGGTACTGTCTGCTTTACACTTGGTTTGAGAACCATCTCTTTCCTTTGAACTGTTTGTTCATCTCTTAGTACGTTTCCATGGAGTTGCTTACAAGATTTCCCCTATTTGAAGGAGTTCATTAATACTAAGAATATTAAACTGTGTGTGATATAAGATGCAAATGTTTTTCCCCAGCTGGTCCCTTGTTTCACTTTGTCTATTGGACTCTATGCTGTGCACACTTTTCTATTTTTATATAACCGAAATTATCTGCATTTTCTCGGGGATATTCCTCTAGCACAAAGAAGTAGCTGTAATCATTCTTTACAGTCATCTGGAAAGGAATTTTATTTCCTGTGTTTGGTGATTGTTTGTTTATCTTTCTTTGTCTCAGGTGATCCTGAGGAGACTCGTGGATGTTTCAGGAAAGCTTATGAAGTGTTCTGCGGTTTCCAGAAGAAAGGCCCCAAGCTGAGCAAGGAGGAGGAAGAAGCCCAAAGAAAGAAGTTGACGGACACCTCAGAGAAGCCCCTGTGGAGGACCGTGGTGAACGTCAATGCCATCCTCCTCCTGTCCGTGGCCGTCTTTGTCCACGGCTACTTTGCTTGAACTTGATCTGAGCCACCAGAATACTAAGCAGAGGATATTACTGATTTTTTGTCTTGAGAGTTTGTTGTGTTGCCGAAGGGAGATGAGCCGTTGGTGATTTTATCCAATGAGATCACTGTGGATCTGACTTTTGGCTTGTGTTGTTCCTTCGTGTCAGTAAACAAAAAGAGAACTGATCATTTAGAAAGACAATGAGCTGACTCCCTGTGTGTATGTAAACTAGGAGAATTTAAGACTAAAGTCTCTTGTTTTTATAGCTTACCAGATAGATTGCCCTGTGTTAAACTTGCTTCCTGCTGTTTCCAGGGATTTCCACTGAGAAGGAACACCTCTCCCAACTCTGCCTCCCCTTGTAACCTCTAAAAATAGGACATTTTCCTCCCATCTTCACCTCACTGATCTCAAGGATTTGAAAAATAGAAATATTTCTTAATAGTTGAGAGGAAGTGAGCCAGAATACCTGTTTTTACTGATATTTTTATGAACTTATTAGAAACTATTAGCTTCTGCCTTACATAAAGTCATAACCCACTTAAAAAACAACATATCAAGCCATTGATTTTTTAAAGCACTTTATTAAAGTATAATTCACATATTTTAAAATGCATCTATTTAAATGTACAGTTCAAACAGAAGCATAGGTACATAGAATAAACTGGCAGCAGTCAGAGTGGAGTGGGGCTGGGGGACTGGGTAAAAAAAGGTGAATGGATTAATTGAAGTATACATATATATATATATATATATATATATATATATGACACATAGACACTGACAACAGTATGGTGATAGCTGAGGGCAAGGGGAGGTGGAAGCAGACAGAGCCGGGGTAAATGGGGAAGGAAAGAGACTTGACTTTGGGTGCTGTGTACCTAATACCGTGTGCAGATGATGTTTTATTGAGTTCTACATTTGAAACCTATATGGCTTTTTTTGTTTTTTAAATATTTTATTGTCTATGCTATGACAATTTTCTCACTTTTCCCCTTCATGGCTTTATTAAGTGATGTCACCCCAACAAATGCAATGAAAAATAAACAAGTAAAAAATAAATAAATAAATAAACAAGAAAGTGTAGAGTTCAGTGTGTTTTCGACAGTCACTGTTGTGCAACATTATCACAATCTAATTTTAGATAGTAACATTAATTTATTTTTTGGCATCGGCACTTGTATATGTACCTTTCTCTGTCTATGTCTGTGTTGTTTTGACATTCTAGATGACAATTATCTGTATGTAGGGTTATGGACCCAGCACAAATAATGCCCCTTTTTTATTACAAAATCATTTATTGCAAAATTATAGGCATGTAATTCTGTTACGTAACAATATCACACTCAAGGACACCATATGACATTTTAGGTGAAATGTTCTAATTAAAACTATAAATTATTACACCCGTATTATTACCCTACCAACCACATTCAAGCTGTCGTTACTGCTGCCAGACCCTGTATACAGGTTTAAAACACTGTTGTAGAAGTAAATCAACAAGTTAAAATGTTCTTTAATAAAGTACATAAGAAACACGTACCTATGATATTGTTATGAAAATTCAAACAATGCTTTGGTCTATAGAATTAAATATAATACTCTCCACTGACAGCCCTTCTCTCCCATCTACTCCCACCCCCACTAACTTTCAGAATAACTGTTAGCGTAAAGCTTATGTTAAAGTGATTTTTCTAGTCTTTGTATACCTGTATGAACATACACAGATTTCTATATAGTGCAACCTTATTTTATATGCTGTTCTATGACTGGCTTTTTCATATAGAGTTTATTTTGGAGATCTTTGCCTATTAGCCCATATATCCCTCCCCCTTCTTAATAGCCACACACTATTCCACAAAATCATTTACCATAACTTGACTGTTTTCCACTGAGAAACTTCCACTTTCAGTTATTGGCTATTACAACAATATTTGACTAACATAATGTATATTCACCTTTTGGCACATTAAGATAGTTTTATTTTCTTTAAAGGTTGTTTCCTAGACATAAATACTGGGTCAGGAGGTATGAATATTTACTTTTCTAATAAAATCTAAAAATGTCTGTTCCAAAAAGGATTCACCAATTCATCTTCTCACCATCAATGGATGAAAGTTCCTATTTACTCACATCCTTAATTACAGGGTATATTATAAATCTAAAGTAATATTTGTCAGTTTGATGATTGGGAAATAATTTTATTTAATAATTTGTGTTTCTACAGTTATTACCAAGATTCTATATGCTTACATAGGACCGCTTTGTTGCATTCCATAAGTTTTAGTATGCTGTGTTTCCATTTGCACTTGTTTCAAGACACCTTCTGTCTAACTGTTTAATAATAACCAGTTTCCCAGACAATATTCCCTCTTCTGTGTTATCCATAGACTAGGACAGATACCTCTCTTATTGCTCATCTATCATGAAATTGAAATTTTGTTTCAAGATATTTTTTATTTCCTTTTTGTTTCAAGATATTTTGGCTTCAAGATATTTTTTGTTTCAAGATATATTTTTACTTACCTTTGATTTCATCTTTGACCCATTGGTTGTTCAGGGGTATGTGGTTTGATTCCACATCTTTGTGAACTTTCCATCTTATTCCATTAATTTCTGTTTTTATGCCACTGTGGTTGGGGAAGATCCTTGGTGTAATTTAAATATTTTTAAATTTGTTGAAACTCATTTTGTGACCTAATGTATGATCTATCCTGGAGATTGTTCCATGCGTGCTTGAGAAGAACGTGTATTCTGCTGCTGTTGGGTGGAATGTTTCTGTACATGCCTGTTAAGTCCATTTTGTCTGAAGTGTTACCCAAGTCCAATTTTTCCTAACTCATTTCTGATTTGGATAACCTCTCCATTGGTGAAAGGGGGTACTGAGTTCTTTACTATTACTGTATTTGTGGCTGTTACTCCCTTCAGATCTGTTAGCATTATTTAATATATTTAAGTCCTCTGATGATATGTGCATACATGTTTACCATTGCTAGATCCTCTTAATGAATTGACCCCTTTGTTATTATATAATGACCTTCTTAGCTTCTTGTTACAGTTTTTGACTTAAAGTCTATTTATCTCATGCCAATATAGCTGCCCTTCTCTCTGTTGGTTCCAGTCTGCATGGAATGTATTTTTCCGTCCCTTCACTTTCAGCCTATATGTGTCCTTGAAGCCAAAGCGAATCTCTTGTAGGCAACTTATTAGCTGGGTCTTGTATTTTTATCCATTCAGCCACTCTATGCCTTTTAATCAGAGGCATAGAGTCACTAAATGGATTTTTAAAAAGAGGTATAAATATAATGTAAATTTAATCCACTTACATTAAAAGTGAAAAGTACAGACACCCTGGCAACTGTGAGAGCCCTGGCTGCCAGTGTGTTCTACCATGGCTGCAGTTGCCACAAAGGGAAACCCAGTGCCAGGAGTCAGGCTGGGGCCCCCTGCTGCACAGCTGCAAGGGCTAGCAGCCGGTGAGCCCTGTGGTGCAGGCCAGTGACAGAACACAGGTCCAGGGCCAGCCCTGGATTTTCTTCCTTTTCCTGTCATGTGTTTGCAGGTCTCTGGATGGAATAAAACAAAAGCAGCTCCTTCATGCAGTGCCCTAAAGACTGAGGAAGCTGGTCACTCTCCCCACTCTCCCATCCCCAGGAAGGGAGCTCTTTCCAGCTGTGGAGTTCCCTGTTGTCACTGAGCAATGCCATCTTGGGGGGATGGGATGATGCAGGCAAAAGAAAGCTGTTCCTCCGTCCCTTTTTGTGCAGTTACTCTCAGGTTTTATGTTCCACTCTGTGGCTGGTGTTTTAAGTAGACTCCAGAGATCTCCCAGAGCTTTTTTCCTCATGGATAGCTGTCTAACTATTGATCCTTGTGAGGGGACTGGAGGTTAGGTTCTCCTATCCCACCATCTTGATGATGACACTTTTTCCCTCTTCTGTTTATTTTTCTTCATTCTTTTTTCTTTTCCTAAAATGTGACAATGTCAATTGTCCTGTATTTGAGTTCACTGATTCTATCTTCTGCCATTCAAATTTGGTGTTGAACCTCTCTGGTGAATTTTCAACTTTGGCTATTATGCTTTGCAGCTCCAGAATTTTTATTCAGCTTCTCTTTATAATTTTTATAGCTTAATTGATATTCTCATTTTGTTTATACATTGTTTTCATTATTTCCTTTAGCTTTTGTCTGTGTTTTTCCTTGGGCCCTTAGAATATATTTAAGGCAGTTGTTTTAAAGTTTAAATTTATAATTCCAATGTATGGGCTTCCTCAGAGACAGTTTCTGTCCATTTATTTTTTTTTCTCCCCTTGAATGTGTTATAATTTCCTGTTTCTTTGTATGTCTTGGGATATTTTTTACAAAAGGTAGACACTTGACTACTATATTGTGATAATTCTGTAAATCAGATCCTCCCCCTTCCCTGCTCTTTTTCTCTTTTATTGGTTGTTGAAGGCTGTAGTAGTTCATTTATTCAGTGACTTTCTCAAACTACTATTGCAAAGACCATATTCTTTGCTGATGTAGTCACAGAGAACTCTGTTCTTTAGCATATGTCCCCTGTTCCTCAGATACTGATTTTTAAAAAAAATTTATTGATTGATTTTAGAGAGAGAGAGAGAGAAAGGAGATGAAAGAGAGAGAGAGAAACATCAGTTTGTTGTTCCACTTATGTATGAATTCATTGGTTGCTTCTTGTATGTGCCCTGACCAGGGACCCAACCTGCAATCTTGGCATATCGGGATGATGCTCCAACTAACTTAGCTACCTGGCCAGGGCCTTAGATACTATTTTGATAGTGATCCCCTCAAATGCCAGAGGCTCTCCCAGTCTTTGCAAACTGACCCTGTTCTGGGACTGTCCTTCAACTCCTAGCCAGCCTTGACTGAGCCTAGGGATCAGACCAAGAGGAAAGCTTAAGGTCTTCTCAGGTTTTTTCTGAGCACGTATCTTGCACATGACTTTCTAGATGCCTCAGTATATATGGTTGCTTGTGGGTGTCCTTATTTCCCAAAGACATCTTCCCAGATTTTGCCTCAGGCAGTCTATTCTTGTATGTTTTCACTGTAATCTTTTACTTCAGGTGTCTAAGGTTTGCTAGTTTGGCTTTCAGTGTCTTCAAGCTCTCCCGGTCTGAGTTCACAGTTCGGTGAAACAGAGAGGAGCACTTGGTGTCAGTTACCCATGTACCCTCCAGACTGGTTAGAATAGGGGTACATGATAGCTTGTGAATATGATCTGCTCTGCTCCTCCTAGAATCAGGACAATGGTCCCACACTGGGAACACAGGCTGTCCCTGCATTTAAGACTGCTGACACTTTATGACTGCTGCTGCTTTAAGATGACCACCATGCAAGGGAGAGGGTGACAATCACTGTTTTGGTGAGAGGCATCATTCTGTAGAGACTTTTTCTTGATTTGGCAATTTGGTTGGTTGCTATCAACTTTTGACTGGTGTCTAGACTTCTCACAAAATCAGTGCTGACAGTGTCTGACAGGGGATGAGAGCCTGGAGTTTTCCACTCCACCATTTGCCTGATGTCACTATTTTTATGGTGTTCTCCTGATTTTCTTTGAAATTTTTTTATATCTTTTGTCCATCTTTTTTCCTAATGATTTTCTTATTTTTCTTGTTGATTCACAGAAATCCTTTGAACACTCAAGTTACCGATTGCTTACTATTCTTTGTGCCACCCCTCCTCTCATGTTCTGCCTACTCTTTGTCTGGAGCCCCAGTGAGATGAGTGTTGGACTTCTTGGGTCATATCTTTTGAGTTTTATTTCACAGTTTCCATCACTTCACCTCTTCAAAGTACATTTTAGGATAATTGCTGGGATCCATATTTCCATCCACTAAGTTCTATCCATTCTGCTATTTATCCCATCGTTCAAGTATCTTATTTTAACAAGTTAAAATTTCCTTGCTAACATCTTTTGGCACACAGTAGAGTGTTTTAGAACCCCGGAGTCAGGAGTTGAAGCTCTCCTGTGCTCCTGAAGGCCCACTTTGAACAAAGCCACCAACTTCCCTGAACCTTCATTTTCATCTGAAACCAGAATAGGAGAGCTTGACTCACAGGTTCAAACGTGATAACTTTATAACATTTCTTAATCTTAATAAGTAGGTGCTCATAGATGTTGATCTCCCACTTGTCCACACTCCACCCCATTAAAGGTCTTCAGAATTGAAGGAGAAATGGTATATCATTTTTGGAATGCTGCCATGGGAAATTACATGTCAGAGAGGAGAGACTGTCAACCTTTAGCCCATAAATACTAAGGTCTTTATCTCAGGTAAAAGCCCAAATCTTTCTCTGAACCTTGATTTCTTCCACGTGTAATGCAGACTTCGTGGAACTGCTATAAAGATTCAGCGAGGTCCTGTAACATTACCTAAAAGGCCTGGCCCAGAGAAGATGCCCGATAAATGTTAGTGCTTTGCCTTTCCTTGCCCCGCCCCATCTGCAAAAATTCCACCTGTGCAAATGACGTTAGGGCCAATAGATATATGATACATGATAAGTGCCAAACATAAAATAAAATAAAATGCAAGCTGGCAAAGTGTCAGGCCTTGAACATCTAGGTGGGGTGAGGTCAGGACTCAGCAGATGGGCCCAGAAGGTCAGCAGGATGGGGTTTTTCTGTATTTTGGCATTGTGATGGGGCTTAGACATACCTACATACCTTTGGCTTCAGAAAAGACTTTTGGTCCTGAGTCATCACTAAAAATCTCAAAATGGGGCCTAGGAAAGAGGTTCCTCCAGTTCTACTTGCCTTGGTAATGAAATGAAGCCTATCTGGAAATAAGTCTAACTAGTTGTTTCCCAAGTGCTCCCCCACCTGACCAGCAGCATCAAAATGGCCTGGGAACTTGTTAGAAATGCAAATTCTCAGGCCCTACTCCAGACCTACTGATTCGAAAACTCTGAGGGTGAATTCCAACCACCTGTGTTTTAATGGAGCGATAGTATGCAAATCACTGCTCTAAGCCCTTTAATTCTGAAATGCATGTCCATATGCTGCTAGCACTCATGTGTAAAGAAGGTCCCTTTATCAGGTGACATGTGCCACCAGTTCTCCAAACATAGGATGAATTGCATCAGTCCATCTGTTCTTTGGGTTGCTCTTAAGACTACAAAAACTGGCTGGATCAGGGATGCAATGTGGGGCAGTCAGACTGAACAACACTCACCTGCATCCTCCAGAACCAGTCCAACAATGCTGGCCAATGAACCTCACCCACCCCCTCCTAATCCTGCCCCCATGGACCCACCAATGTAATGGTGCCTCATTCAAACAGTTTCATTTACCTAAATCCAACTTGAAAGTAGAAGGAGTTTTCTTGGAGGCAGGAGTGATGTTAAGAAAACCCTTTTCTTCGACTAAGCACATAGGTGCTTTTCTCCCAGGGTTTTTTTTTGTGACACAGGACAGGTAAGTGGTGAGTGACTTCAGCACCAGCAAAGAGTGGGTGCTAGCAAGTTCCAGAGGTAGAAGTTTCTCTAAGTAAACACCAGTGCCTGACTCAGCTGCACAGAACATGTCAAAGGTCCCAGGACCAGCTTTACTTTGCAGGGTAGGAGGTCTGTGTTTTCCTTTTGAGAGTCATCCATATTTAAAGAAGCTTGTTTGGCTTTATAGGGTATAATTTTTTTTCAGCTCTATAAACTGAGCATTAATAAGCAATCACTCTGCCCCATAACACCCATCTTCCATTTGAAGAAAACAATAGCTCCTCTCTGCACCCTGAAATTATTCTAATACAGTTTATCACTTCCTGGTCCCTGATTACCCCCGTGGCTCAGTCTATTCTAACAGGATATCATACATTGAAGGTAGAGCTACTCACCTCGTGTTAACTAGAGATTTTGAAATTGAAAGTATTTCCAAACCTTCCTACACTTTTTTCATGTTGCTATATTCTATATTCTACTCTCAACTGTCTTGGTGCTTCCTTTCTAATCCATACATTATACCAACTAAAACTCACCACAGACATGGTCAGTATTTGTCTGAAATCTCTAGAGAACAGGAAACTTGGATGTTATCATTTTTAATGTTTATTTTTATCAAAGTACAAGAATACATTTTAATTATGGGACTAAATGCAGCTTAATATAACATCTGCATGTCACCTCCCATGTACGTATCTCCCATCCCCTTACCCAAGTGACCTCGTCACAGCCAGAGGAGGTAGGGAAATACTATGAGCTCCAAGGTTCCCATTTTTCAAACAGAAAAACACACAGTTGAGACAACATAATTTACCACAATATACACAATGAATCATTGGCAAAGACAGACACAGAATCCAGGACAAACTTGATACTTTGTGCCCACTCCACACATCAGCATCAACCCTGTCCTCTCAAAACTCAAAAATACCACAAGCTCCACACAAAACTGAATACCCTGAGAAATGCTAGCCACCTGAAATTCTCTACTTTTCCGTCTTCTCTCCCTAGCTTAAGGGGAATGTAAGGGCACCTCAAACAGACATCTCTGGGTTTCCTTCCGTGAGAACAAGTGACTCCTTCTCCTGCTGAACCATTTTTACGTGCAGGCACCACGCTCAGCTCCACAGAGCCTCAGACCCCGCCCTTTCTAAGCTAGCCTGAAGTCAGTCAACACAGCCATCCTGAGAGTTTCTTCACTTTAATGAGATTATATTACAATACGATTAAGGTTTCACAGGTAGACTTGAAAGAATGCTAGTTAGCTCATTAAATTTAAGTTAAATTTAAAATATTTCTCTCTAGGAAACAAACATTCAACAAGAAATACACTCCCCTCAGCTAAAAGTGTTGAGCACTAACCACATGGAACAAAGACCATGAACCTTGACCTTGGTCAGGGGATGGTCACCAATCGGACAACTGAAAAGAGTAGGGTCAGTGGCCATGTGCACTCATGTGGAGGAGGATCTCAGGCTAATTGTTTCAATATTTCAGGACGGCTGCTTTGCAATGTCAGATGCCCCAAGAGGCATGCTTGCTCTGTGATGTGCCACAGAATCAACTTCTGAGCCCATGTGTCAACATCCACACCGGGAGGAAGAGTGGCCTCTGGGAAGTACATGACAGTCACCACGGTGAGTGCTTTGTGCAGTCACAAAAGAAGTTAACCAAAAATAAAGTGTGTTTATAAATAATGCCCATACTCTTCACCAACATCGCTGAGTGGCGGAAATGTTCCAGGCACGGCGAATGCCACCATGAGTGAGATCTCCGACATGAGGAACCCCCAGGGGACACTTTCAAGAAGCTCAGCAAATTCAGATTATCTTTCCCCCCACACTGGCCTTGGAATTTGTTGACAGTTTGCTCAGTGTCATTGTTCTTGACCAATTAACCACTTTTGAAAGATTGCCTTGTAGCTGGTGTGTTGTCTTTTCTCTGACCTTCCAAAATGACAAAATAAAAAATGCCTCTCTTATAATAACAATATTTCCATTTGGCTTTTTGTTGCTTTGGGGTAAATACTACTCTCAGGGCCCTGTTCTCTCCTTCAAACAGCAAACACCCAGTGAGGGACCCCATCTAGCTCCCACCCTTAGCTTCAAAGGGTTTATCAGAATAACAGGTTGATTTTTCTGTGCCAAAAAAAAATTTGACAGGGATATGATGAGAAGTAAAGTTTTTCTCTAAAAAAGAAATTGAGGAGGATCAGATAGGGCAAGTGGCAGGAACCAAGTGGGCTACAGCTCTGAAAAATGACATTCAAGGATCACAGACAATGTTGACGTGCTGAGTCTGCCTGAGACAAATGTGCATCAGACGTGCGGGGACTTCTGTTCCTTAGTCTGCTTCTTCATGAATGAGTGGACTTTTCTTCTGCGGCTCTGATACGTATACCTGACTATGTCACACTGGCCTCAAATACATAAGTTAACAGCAAATTAATCACTTTTATCCAGTTATCTTACAATTATACATGTGTACATTTGTCAACTGGTCAAAATTTACAACTGGCTGGTTTCCCTTCACTACCACAGAAAGGGACGAAAGGGAGGCAAAACAAATGGTCCAGCCTTTAGGGGAGCAGTCTGCAGCAAAAGGCAGGACTCAGGCAAAATATGCATGGCAGAAGACGGCCACGGCCAGCAGGATGACGCCGTTGATGTTCACGACCGTCTTCCACAAAGGCTTCTCGGAGGTGTCCGTCATCATCAGCTTCATGGCTGCCTCCTCTTCCTTCGTCATCTTGGGGCCCTTCTGCTGGTCAAGGCCACAGAACAGGTCATAGGCCTTCCTGCAGCATCCTTTCTTCTTCTCAGGATACTCTGTGTTGGGGAAAAGGAAAACAAGAATTGTTGGATACAGAAGTGGGAGGAACTAGAAAAAGTTCCCCGGGGGTCAGGGGATGTTGTATCATGGAACAGCTGCCATTCTGCAGAGACTTCCCGATTTTCTTTAGTCACAGGAATGGATGTGGTAGAAAATGTCTGAGTCAACTAGTTAATTACAAGATGGTGTTAATAGATGGATTCTACATCCCCATGATCAGCTGGCATACATTTCATCTCTACCAGACCAAATGCAAACATGTTTTGATTTAGAACCATTAGAAACAAACAGGGAATGGCAGTTTACAGCAGACGGGTGTTAACAATGGGCTGGGCACTGTAACACCTCTGAGATATCTGAACATAACTGTTTGCTACATCACTGAGAAGCAATGAGAATTCCATGACTCAGGAGTTCATGGGTTACACCTAGAAATTCCAAGGCTTTGCAACAGGTCTAGCTGTGTAGTAAGAATCAGTCTGAACAGGGCAGCAGTGATGACACTTCCAGGGCTTCAGAGCTGATGCTGCATATCAACACTGCTGAATCAAATGATCCAACTGGCCTGCCACTCAGAGTGGATGCCCACCTAGGGGACTGATTCTCTCCCCCGCCCAGATATAGCCTTGGAGCTAGATGGACTGGAGCTGAAACACCAGGTCTGTAACTCACCAGATACGCAATGAAGCCCACTGTGTTTTCAGCCCCATAGTAAGGATCACTGCTCTCCACTCTCCCATTTTTATGGCACAGAATTTTAGAACTGGAAAGAACCTTCGTAGTGATCAAGCACATACGTGTGTCAGAACTGGGACAAAAACCCAGTTTAATGACCTTGTTAATTCACCTCCCATTCTCTGTATCTGTAAAACTGAATAAATAATGCCTTCTTCATTATGCGATTGAATGAGAGACCACCCAGTACAAAGTAGGTGTCAAGAACTGTTAGCCTCCTTGTAGTCTCTTTTCACTCTCACACACATAAGAAAGAGATAGACAAGCCTCCTTGGCCCCTGTACTTTGATCCACTTCACCAAAATAGGACAATGGCAAAGGCTCCCTGATGAGCCCAAGTGAGAAACTCATGCTTATTTGGGCCATGGAAAAGTTGGATGGGCACTGGCCAAGTAGCTCAGCTGGTTAGAGCATCCTCCCAATGCACCTAGGTTCCAGGTGTGACCCCCAGTCAGGGCACATACAGGAAGCAAGCAATGGATACACGGATATATGGGACAACAAGCCAATCTCTCCCTCCCTCCCTCTCTTTCTCTAAAACTCAATTAAAAAAAATTAAAGTTGAGTAGCTTTGAGGGAGTCTCTACATCTCATTTACTCATCTTTAAAATTAGAAGAATTATATCTGCATTATCTGCTGTAAAAGGATGATGTGGCACCAGAATTAAATGCTACACTACAGTATTCATAATTCAAATACATTATGACCGTATCGTTATCTGCCATGAGGATGGTGGTTGTGGTGACAATGCTATGGAGGTGAATTCTCATACTGCTGTTTCTTGGAGAATGGTGAGGGCGACACCCATTGTCTATGAAAGCCCTCTAGAAATCTTAGTTGATTGTACTTTAAGGGCAGTGTGGTCACTATGATTTCACCATGAGTTCATTCAGAAACAGCAGAATTCAAGTACCGCCATCTCAGGAGTCACCAAGCCAATTCTCTAGCCAGTGGGGCAGTCCCTTCTAGGCATCCCTGACAAATGCACATTGCTGCTCACCTCTTCCCAAACAAACTCAGAAAACTTTTCCTTAGCTGCAAAAATAATGCTACAAGTATAGCCAATTCCATTGTGGAATTTTATTTCCTTCAATGTTTTCAACAGTGCTATGAAGTATACGCTATCGTTCACAATACTTTTATGTGATGAGCCTGAGCTTTAGAAAAATGAAATGATGTGCCCAGGGTAGTAGGTAGAGAAGTTAGGAGTCAATCTAAATTCTTCCTGAATCCAAATCCCACACCCTGTCTCTATGCCATCCTGCCTCTTTACTTTGAGTTAAAATGGGTTGAGTCCTATCCAACCAAGTCTTAACTCTGGTGCAAACAACCAACCAACAAACAAAAAAACCCTAATCTCTTCTTCCACATTAAAACATTCAAAATACTCCTCCTGCATGTCCCTTTAAAATCTATGATATTCTCACTCCATGTGGGGACATTTCTGGAGGTGGAAGAAGTGGGGGGCATGTTCATTCTGGCCTGCTCCAGGGGAGCAGGCAGGTGCTGCCTTTGTCAGCACCAGGGTCAGCTGCCTATGACTCCAGGCAAAGCCTCTCCATTCCAGAGCATCAATTTACATGTTTAAAATGAGGTGATAAAAACAAATAACCTCAGGGCCCTCTCCAGAGCTAGGGTTCTGTGATATTCCTGATGGCTAGATTCAGAATTTGTCCTGCTGTATCTGTGCTCCCTTCAGTCGGGGTGATGAGACCTTCTGCCTCGCACCAGGTAAAGAACACACAACCTTGACCTGCCACATCACCATACACCACAAATCTCCACCACCATCTCCATGCAGAAAAGAAAAGTTGCAACACAGCAGCTGAGGAAAGCATGTGTCTATGATCAGGATGAATCTCTGAGCACCAACTAGGAGTTATCTCACTGGACTTCCAGAGAAATTTGGTTTTCTAAATCCGATGTGGTAAGCCAGTAAGACATAAGATCCCTGAGCCTCTAGCCCACCCCCTGATGTCATCAGGACTAGCCACAGCTTTGATTCCATCTGCTTTCAGTTCACAGGCTGCGTCAGAAGAGCTCTGACTCTTCCCTTGTCCCTGGCTATGCCCCAAATCAAGTCACGGTGGCAAATTCCTCACCCACCCTTAATCACGGAGCACTGTGAACTATGAAAGGTGAGGGGGCAGGAATGATTCTGTACTTCCCTCCTGCCCTTGACCAAGCTTCAGAGTGAATACCCCAAAACCCATTTGTTCATCTCACACACACCCCACCCCACTCTCTGCTCTCCCGGGAGAGAGATCCGAGCTTTGATAAAGGCATTTAGTGAGGGCTTCAGTAAAATGGTCTTGCTGATGTAGGAGTAACTTTTTAGGGCTTGAGAATAGCCTCTGAATCATGAGTCACCTATTTCAAGAGTCTCCTCTGGGGCTTCTTGGACGCTTTCCTCTTCCGCATCCAGGTCGATACGCTCCTCTGTGCTGTTGCGCAGGGTCCAGCACAGGCGGTAGAGCTGCGGAGAAAGCAGAACAGGCTAGCAGAAAGTTCCAAACAGTGTCTAGGGCCAAGAAGTTGGGAGAATAAAGAGATATACGTCAAGAAGGAAAAAGGAAAGTGGCCTCTCAGCACCAATAAGAACATATGTAACAATTCAGGTCCATAACCTTATATCTAAATATGTCAGGAACTTCAATGTAAATCATACACATGTAAACACTCACCCATTTGCTTTATGCCTATTCGGAGGCCAAGGGGCTGCCTTGAGTACAGAAATGTTTTGAATGAATGAACTCTTGGTACATGTGCTAAATGAATTTGTTCTTTTTAGCACCAGTTCTGGGAAACAAGACACCCATCTGTCCAGAACAGCAGTGTAAGATAATGTTTTTGTGCTATGTGTTTGTCACATTGTGAGGAGAGAATTTACAGAACCATGGGCCATTTACAATAGGAGAGAACTGGAGGCAGAGTCTCTGTTGACATGAAACGAGAAACTTGAAGAAGCCTGAAAATCAGTGCATTGAGTTCTTCCCAGCCACGCCCTCTTCCGTGACCACCTTGCTTCCTCTACAGCAAGAGGAAGCCTGAAGCCCAAATGTGCTTGAGGCTGCAACACTTCCCAAGACAGAGACGTCAGGAAGAATCACTGCAGCAGAAAGCTTGTGATAGATTCAGCAAGTAAACATGGTGGTCCTGCTGCTATAAAAGCAATTTTTCTTTGACATTAAGTTTTCTCACAGCTTTGAATGTTTGGCAATGGGACTGAAGATCTCTTATGGATTTCTTGAGTCCCTGTATTTAGGTAGGTGTAATGGGTTAACAAAACCCTTTGTCTTTCTCTATAGACAAATATAATTGGGTAACTCTCTCTCTGTGTTCCTTGGAAACCTGAAAAAGGTAGAATACCATATGTATTGGGTTACCAGAATGTATTGCTTGAAGTAAAAAAAAGAAGAAGAAGCCTCTAAGTGGTCATCTTCATGTGCACTAGGAGGGCTGTGAATATACCCTAAACCGAGAGCGACATCTAGAGCCAAAGAAGAGTATTGCCATTTTTGAAGTCTTGAATCAATTAGACTTTAGTATTGTTTGAAATTTCTTGAATTCTATGAGCCACTATTTAAAGGCTTAATAGGGACAGTTAAAGGGTAAATCATACTTCAGATTTCCCTGAGTGTGGTGATTTTTGTAACTAAGTATATCTCCTGCTGGGCCCCTTGGAAGTTCTGACCACGGAGCTGTTACAAGAGATATAAGTTCCTGTCGGGGACATGAGCTTCTAAGCCAGGGTGGCCCCTGTGCTGCCCATGTGATCTCACACCCTTGCACCTGAGCTGTCACTTGGGGAGCATAATCAGAGACGAACCCTTAAACGGAAATGTGTTTGAAGACTCCTGCTGAAGACGCATGATTGACACTGCCCAGCCGTCACCCCGAGCTTCCTATCCTGTATCCGTCTACAGCACCCCACCAGCAAGTGTGGACTGTTTAGCCACATGAGTGTGCAACGTCTAGTTGAGGAGAGGGTGACCAAGACGGGTGTGCAGCGTGCATGTGAGACAAGGGCAGGACAGGCCTCCCAAGTGGATACTCACGTGCTTGTCTTCGATGGGCTTGGTGAAGAGGGAGACAACCACGATGATGATGACAGAAATGGCAAAGAGGATGATGGCGAAGTACAGGTAGTGCACGCCACAGATAATCGTGGGACAGTTGCTGGGTTCCATGCAGCTCCCGGTGCCATAAGCAAACTCGGTGATCATGCGGGCCACCCCGATCAGAAATCCTATGATCAGTCCCCAAAAGGCTCCCTGTGGAAGAAAACCTGGGGTCACCAAATGCTGGACACACAAAACAGCTGTGCACTCCTGAGGGACAGAGGCAAAAGAATAAAGGGGAGAGAAATGACAGCCCCAGCCACCTGAAGCCCACACACCAGAACAGCCGGGAGGGTTGTGTCAGGCCGTGGGTGGGCATCATGTCGGTCGTGTTCCAGTGATGTGATTTCACCTGGGTCACGAGACAAGGATTCGGGACACAATGGGGTAAAGGGTCTGAGAACTGGTGAGAGTACCAACCCAAAGCCTTACTTCCAAAAATTCCCTTTTTAACTTTAAAAATAACTTGAGTCTCTCTACCTGCAGCTACTATTATCATCAGTCTCCATATTTAGACACATTTAGATGTAAAGTAATTGTGAAATAATTTGTATTCCTTAAAGACATGGAAAAGGCAATGGGTCTTTTGGGGACAGAGGAGAAAGGAACTTTTCCATCAGCCTCTTTTATGGATTCAAAGTCACTGTTTTTATTTTGAGACTATAAAATTCTTCTATGTGTTTTCACATTAAATTTTGGGTTTGCATATGAAAAATATGGAAGCCTTTAAGAGACTATAAATATTGAGGGTGATTTTTTAGGGTTTTTCTTCAACCCATTTTTCCTTCTCTCTCTCTCTCTTTCTTTTCTTCCTTATTTCTCTCTTTCTCTCTTTACCTTTCTTATCAGGCTTCACCTACAAGACCAGGCTGAACCTAGAGGCCGAATTTTAAAAGGACCAGTGACAAACTAGCGTGAGCTCATAGAAGGGTGGCCAAAAAGAGCCTTTCTGATTTTGTCAAGCGTTGATCTGAGTAGCGCCTTTGTTAGCCATCGGTCCTCCCACACTTTATAGTCCATGTGCACTAAATGACCAGCTCTTCTTTAAACGTATTGTGTATATATCACTCCCAGGTCTTTGCACAGGCCATTCCCTCTACCTAGGAGAGCAAGGTTCTTCCCTTCCTGGTAACCTTGTCCTAACCTGAATGTCCCCTCTGCTCCGCAGACAGAACTGGGTGGGCACACCCCCAGCCATCACTGACCACACTGCTGCAGAACTACACAGTCACTTCTCAGCCTCCTCATCTCAACTGGGTGCAGGCCCAGAGGAGAAATCTCTCCCTTTGTGTTGTGAGTGCCTCACCCCATGTCTGGCATCAGGAAGTGTCTGCTAGATGAATGAATGAACAAGGAGAAAGGAAAAGATGTTTCCCACTTATCCTCCGTACATTTATTTGGTCATATAAATGATTTCTTGACTTGACTTTGTGTGAACAGTATCAATAAAACTTGCTAAGGCTTTCCTTCTTTTCTGGCAATTAGCCCCTTCCTGTTCCTTTAGTCTTCATTCTCAAGAGGTGCTTGAAAAATCCGGGAGCCTTTGACATTTTCCTCAAGACTTAGAGTTGCCCCTCAGCACACACAGTGCCTGACCAGTCCTGAGAATCGCTTTGCAGCCCCTGCGTGCTGCCCTCTGGACATTTAGGTCAGGGTTTCTCGCTCTCATCTCTGGACATCTGGGTGGGATAGTTCGTTGTTGGGGTGGGGGGCCATCTTGCATATTATAGAATGTTTAGCAGTAACCCTGGGGTCTACCTACTAGATACCAATAATATTCCCCAAATCATAACAATCAAAAATGTTCCCAGACATCGCCATATGTTGTCCCCCAGGGGAGGGCAGAATGCCCCATTGAGGATCTCTACAGTCTATCCCAATTCTTAGCCTTATTGTTTTGAAAGCCCTGGCCCATTGCTGAGTTGAATCTGCTCGTGGCCCACTGCAATACTCAGCTAAGCTTCTAGCCTCATCCTCCTAATATATTTTAGAAGTCTCCCAGTGAACCAGCCTTGGCCAGTCACTACTGAAACTTATCCCTTTATGTGCCCATTTCTCTAACATGCCAAAGTCACTTTCAGGTTCAATTCTGATCTCACAGGGGTCTTTATCTGTGCACCTAGCTTTGTGCACCTGGCTTTGTGTAACAAGCAAATCTGGACTATCTTCCCAATAGCAAATGTCGAATGAAGAGAGAACCATGCGGTGATTTATGCACCTCAAAGCTGGGTCACTCCAGTGAGGTATTTCCCTGGTGTGTATTTGTTTCTGTCCTACTGGGAGAAAGGGGTCATCTCCACCCAAACCTAGGTCACCATTTACATTGTTTCAGACAATGAGCTATACAGTCAGCATCCCCATGGCTTCCCAGCCCCATCCCCAGGCATGTAGACAGCTGGATACAGAGACAGCTGAGCAACACCCCAATCAGAAGCCATATCCGAAGGAATCATTTTCGCGGTACTTCAGAACCTGCAAAGGCACCCCACTGGTGACCCAAACTCTTTAGCCTGGCTTTCACAGGGGCATTGCCCACTCTAAACTTAACCTGCCTCCCCAGATGGGCCTCCCTTATCCACACACACTAACTCCCTCTCCAGCCAGGTGAGATTCCTGCCAGTCTCTCACCCTCTGCCCTGTCCTCCCACCTCCACCTCCAATTTCTGGTGAGTTTTGTTCTCTCTGCCTTGAATGCCCTCTCTTCCCTCTCAGTCTCAGCCCGTGTTAATGTAGCCTTTCTAGGAATCCCTCCATACTAATATTTTGTGCCACCTTTTACCCCTCTATTGTTATGCTATTTTGCACATAAAGTGCTTGAGCACCCTCACTGGGCTCTGGGAAGCGCTGGCTGGAAAGCAGAGCTCACCACAGAACCAGGGGAGGTGGCCTATGCTAGGACTTCCTCTGTAGCTGCTTACCAGGGGCTGCAAACTTCCCAGGGAGGGCCATGTCATTGAGGAAAAAATCACCAAGATTGGATGGAAAATGTGCATCATTAGCTGGGAATTAGTTTGGAAACTGCAGTAAGGAGGACAGGGGAGTCTGGGAGAATTCGAATTCATGAGAGTCCCATGGCCCTTGGAAGCATTCCCATACACACCCTCAGCAACACACCCATTCCACCCTGAGATCTCTAGGAAAATCCCTCCCACAGAGAATAGGCAAGTCCAGGTGGGCATTTCTGAGCCAGAATGGGCCTTTCTGGCTACATGTGAATGATACTTACCGGCTCGGTGACTCTCTTACAGAAAATAGCAAGCAGGAAGACAGCGGCGATGGGTGGTCCCAAGTAGCTCGTGATGGACTGGATGTAATCAAAGAGCTGCCCGCTTTGCGCTGACTGCACAATGGGCACCCAGGCGATGCTGATGCCAATCAGCGCCAGGATGAACAATCTGAAACCAAAGCCCCCAAGAGTGTCAATAAATACACGTAGCTGTATATCTAATACATAAATAACTAGCAAATATATATACATATAATGACCACAGCAAGGAAGCATAAGTAGCAAATTCATTCTTGAGGCTTTTTTTCTCCCATATTCTGCCTTCTTGGGAAAGGTATCTGTACCTATGACTAAGTGAAATGCACTTGACTTCCAACAGTGACCTAAACCAGCCACTACCCTAAGAGAGGCCCACTCTAAGAGGCAGTACAGTATAGGAACACAGATGTGAACTTTGGGTCCAGGCAGTCCTGGATTCAAATGTTTACTTTCTCTGTGTGACATAGGACATTTTGCTTTACCTCTCAGAGTCTCGGTTTCTCCATCTGTAACCTGGGAATGCTATAAATGACTTTACAAGGTTGGAATAAGGATTAGCTGTAGTTAAACAAATAGTAGGGAAGTAGATTAGCAAGTAGTCACAGGAAAGACTATAATTATTATTTTCTTGTCCTTCTCTTTCCCCTTCTCCTCCTTCTTCTTCATAATAAAGTCAAAATCATAAGCCAAGACGAGTTTCTAAAGGAACAGTCTGGAGAAAAAGGAACACTACAGGTATTTCTCTCTCTCCTCTGATTGAGTTTCTTTCAAACCCTGAACAGACGAGGGTATTCCCTAGCAAGTCCTCTTACTGGTACTCTTGATTTCATTAGAAAGAAGACCATGATTTCTTTGCCTCAATTACCTGAATTTAAGGCTAAAACAAGTCTGAAAATAAACTTCACAAAACACTGTTTTCACTTATATATTTCTTTCTCTGAAATGCTATTCCCACTGCCCTCCACTTACCCAAACCCAACCCAGCATTGTGGACACAGTTAAGAGTCTTCCTCCCCCAGGAGCCTCCCCCAACTGCACGTCACGCTCACCGCTCACTTCTCTGAGCCCTTGACCGCTCTTACAGTCCCCACAGTGAAGTGTGGGATTATTTCACGTAAGTGTGAGTTTATCTAGGCAGGGACAAGCCGAGCCCCGGGGCGGCAGTCACCGGGCACACACAAAATCATACGTCCCAACACAATCTCAGGGCCAAAGGTCTGGCTCTGAGCAAAACAACAAAATGGCTCTCTTCCCATGTTGCATCTCGAGCCTCATAAATAACAGAAAAAGCCAGTAAACTCTTTTCTAAGGAAAAATTAGTCACGGTAATGGTGTTGCATCTTGTGAAACAGAGTTAGCAGACTCTCGCCTTGTCACCTGAGAGTGACCTGTCAGTTTTCCTTTCTTTGCTTTGTCCTAATCTTGGTCATGAGAACAATGAGGAGCACCCTTCCTGCATTCACTGGGGACCTTCCCCTGGACTGACTTTCCAGGGACTTGTTCCACCTGCCCTACTGCCCTATGGAGAGATGTAGTGGAGCTCCTGCTAGTCCTCTGTTCAGACCATCTGATTACAGATAATCACGATAATGAGCACACCTGACCCACGTGCCTGCTTACTGCTTTCCATATCCTGTCATGTCCATCAGTCCATTGGTAATAACGGAAGTGCTGGTAGCCCTGTACTTTAGATTTTACAGAGCGTATTCCCAAGCTCAGTATCACTCAACCCACACAGTGGCCTTGCACAATGTTGCTGCAAAGGATCAAGTTACTGGAGGCATCTGGGCCTCAAAGACAGCCAGTAAGGAGAGCTTCAGTGTGGAAGGCTAAGGGGGACAGCATGAGGCAGTGTACAGAACCCCAGACAAGGAGTCGGTTGGGATTCCATTCATGGCCCTGCCATTGTCCCAGCTGCCTAGATTTAGGCAGGATGACCCTCATTTTCCTCATTGATAACTTAAGGGTTAGATTAAATGATTTCTGATGTCACTTCTCTCTCCAGAGGGGCATTGTTTGATGATCTCCAATTTAAAGTTGACACCACTGGAGGCCAAATATAATTAGTCACAGAGGTTACGCCCATTCTTCCCAACCATCTCCCAGTCTTCTCTAGCTTGATGGAACCTCTGTAGTTATTCAGGCTGCATTTACCTTCCTGCAATCATGAGCTCTTTCTCCGATGCTTTCTTCCGAATCTTGGTGTAGAGGTCCATGGTGAAGAGGGTGCTGGCGCTGTTGAAGATGGAGGTCAGGGAGCTCATGAGGGAAGCCAACATGACTGACAGCATCAGGCCTCGCAGCCCTGGAGGAGAAGGAGGTAATGAGTGGTACACACAGCACTTCAGCTCTTTTGTACTGGAACATGTGAGGACTTGGTGTTTGTTTGCCCTCTGAAACCATGCCATGGTTGGTCTTTCATTGATCTCTCCAGAAAGACTAGACATTTTAAAGAATGGATTGTGGCTTTGCATTATACTGTAAACCCCCAGCAGTCAACAAAGACATAGGGACAAAAGATATATGAGGTTAACACCTTGCAGTAAGATGATGATGGTGGTGATGGTGTGTGTGTGTGTGTGTGTGTGTGTGTGTGTGTGTGTGTGTTTCCACCTAAGGGCACTTTTATAAGATCTCTCACCCAAAAGATTCATAATATAGCATAAACGTTTAAACTAGCATTCAAGAAAACGAAAAGACAATCATAGAATGGATGAAAATATTTGCAAATCATATACCTAATATGAACCTAGTATACAGAATATATATAAAACTCCTACAACTCAATGATAAAAAGACAATTCATTTGCAAATAGCCAAAGGATCTGAATAGACATTTCTCCAAAAAAGATGAACAAGTAGCTAATAATCACATGAAAAAATACTCAACATTAGGGAAATTTAAGTCAAAACCACAATGAGATACTCTTTTGCACCTACTAGAGTGACTATAATAATTTTAAAAAAGACAGATAATAACAAGTGTGGGTGGGTATGTGGAGGAATAGAAACCCTCATACATTGCTGGCAGCAATGTAAAATGGTACAGCCACTGTGGGAAACAGTCTTGCAGTTCCTCAAATAGTTGAACACCAAGTAACCATATGACAGATCAACTCCACTCCTAGGTATCTACCCAAGAGAAATGAAAGCATGTGTCCACACAAAAATGGGTACATGAATGTTCATACCAGTATTATTTATAATAGCTAAAAAGTGGAAACACACAATGTCCATCCACTGATAAATGGATAAACAAAATGTAGAATATCCATGCAGTGGAATCTTATTCTTCATTCCTCTCTAAGAATGAAGTCCTGATACATTCTGCAGCCTGGACGAACCCTGAGAACATCATGCTACGTGGAAGAAGCCAGACACGAAAGAATACTGTATGATCCCATTTCTATGAAACCTCCAGAGTAAGCAAATCCATAGGGACAGAGAGGAGATTAGTGGTTGCCAAGGGCTAGGGGGCTAGGGCAAAGTGTGGGGTGATGGCCAAGGGATATGGGATTTCCGTGGAGGGAGAAAAAATATTTTTTAATTGATTCTGGTGATGGTTGCTGAACTCTGTGAATATAATGCTAAAAAACATTCACTGTCTACCCTGAGAAAATCATATGGTGTGAGAACTACAGCTCAGTATCATCGTCTGGAGAAAGAAAAGACAAGGCTCTGTGTCCAACTGACCCAGGAGAGTCACGCCAACCATGGGCCTCATTTCTCAGTGGGGTCGTGGGGCGTGATATTATACCTGCCCAAATCAGAATAAGGAATTGCCATTTTCAAAATTTTCCCAGTCGTGAAAAGCAAGGTTGGCTGTAATCTCTACTACTCTTTTCATACCAAGGAGAGCACAGGGTTGTCCCGATGAGGCTGGAAGGCTAGGCCAGGCTGAGAGCCCACCACTGAGAGGACAGCCTCAGAATTCAAAGTAAACTTAGGGTTCACTCAAGTCTGCCATCTCTCTGCTACATGAACCCCTGCAACATTCTCTCTGCCCAAACCCTCCATCAACGGGAAACCCACTGCCCCACAGGGAGTCTGCTCCCTCCTGGGCAGTCCTGACCTGTCTCATAACTGCCTCCCAAGAGCCTCAGACCCAGCCCTGCGGCCAGGCCTCTCTGTCACGTACGATGCCCTGGAGTACCATGTGCAGAGCCGCAGTTCCCACCCACGGTCCATCTGCTGACCTAAAGAGCCAGCAGAAACCCTGCACAGAGGCCAGGGTAATCTAAGCCGGAACTCTAAAAGAATCAAGTGACTCATACTAACTGACACCTTAATTAATAAGCAGCCCAGCTAAGAGGAATAGTTAACTATTACCCCCATGTTATAGAATTTGAATCTAAATGGTTTGCCCAAGGTCATGCATCCAGTCTGTGGTTTTAAAAAAAAATTTTTAAGACCATCCCAAATTCCTCAATTTCAGCCTTGAGCAGAGTTACACGAGCCAGACTCTGAGTTTCTGTGTGGCTTGGAAAAGCCACTTTCCCGCTGTGGACCTCGGTTTCCCCAACTGTAAAATGAAGAACTTTGATTAGGTGATCTCTATGTGTTCTTTCAGTAATAAAATTTTATAGAAATCTACTCTAAATTTTCCTAATCAATACCTATGGGGTTTTTTTATTTCCTGAGACCCCCATCCTAACTAAATTTGCCTCTCTTGAGCCAAGAGAAAATCAAATCAGAATTTGATTTCTCTTCCATTTAAAAAATGAAAAGTAACCCCACAGGTCTACCCCAAAACTCTACCTAATCTGGACTCTATGTCCTCCGTCCTCTGGGATAATGCGTTCTCCACAGTGAGAAGCTCCTTTGTATCCCATCCAGCTACTGCCTCGAACGTCCTCATTCTACAGCCAAAACCACCCCCCGCCCCTCTCTCCAGGGTTTTCCTTGCAACAGTGTAGAAGTCAGTTCACTCTCTAGGTAAACCTCCACTTAGTTCAAGCCATCACATTAGTGTCTGTGGGAAAGTTTCAAAAGACCTTCCAGATGAGCACGGAAAAGCTGTGTTTATCCCTAACACATTTGCAAATCACCTCTTTTCCAAGCCCGACTGACGCACGAGTGCCCGTTCTGAGAGCCCACCCGAGCCCTGTGTGTCCTTCCCGCCGAGGGAGGACATGTTCACACACTGAGGTCACCTGGAGTGAGGCCTCCCCTCCTGACCTCCAGGCTTGGAAATGGCTTTGCCCAGAAGGCACAGAGAATCCACAGAAAGCCCAAGGCCAATCAGCCTCTCAAGAAAGACGCTGCCAGTGGGGACGAATCTCACCATTGGGCATGAGCTCCACCACGAGGGTCGGATAGGCAATGTTGGTACAGCCCACCTTGGTGCCGCAATGTTTCTCACATTCCGAGGGGACAGTGCAGGCCACTTTTTCTGGAGAGAGATGACAAGCCATGTCAGCAGACAGACACCGGGGAAATACTTTCAAGATTCACTTTCTCAAAACAAGGCTTCAAAGAAGACATTCCTGCCCGAGGCCCTGAAATACTCCCACAAAGAGTAGAGCTCCTGGCTGAGCCCTTCACTACCATGACCTTGCCCTGCTGGCCCTGATCCTCCCCAAGCTCTGGCTGGGGAGAAAAGACAGCTCCTAGACAGAAGAGGCAGAAGCAAAGAAATGCTCAGAGTGGGAAGGGAGGGGGCACACTCCTTAGACTTCAGTTAGCTACCCTGCGGCTCAGGAGTAACCATTGTCTCATTTGCCCGAAGGCCACAGTGATAGACAGACAATGGTGTGCGGATTGACTAAAGTGGGGGAGGACGTGTAAGAAGGAGGAGGTGGAGCAGGAGGGAGAGGGGGAGGAAAGGAAGGAGCAGGGAACTATAGGGCTTTAGAAGTGACTCGGAGTCAGAGATGAGAGAGAATGGCCGCTGAGTCCAGCAGAAGGCATCACCTGTGTACAGGATGCGGCTGATCATTCCAGGCATCACCATGAGGAACATGGGCAGCAGCTTCAGGTACCCGCACATCATGCAGCCGGCCTTCACGTGAGACATGTTTTTGGCCGAGAGGCAGCGCTGCACGATGACCTGCCAGGGAAAGCCCGGTGAGGGAGGGGTGCAGGTCACAACACCTTCCGGCAACCTCACCTCCCCTCCCTCGCATCCTGGGTCCTTGGCCTGGCACTACCATGTTGCCAAGGCTCAGTGACCCCCAGACCACGTGAGCCCTACCCTGCCTTCCCCAACCCCACAAGCCACAGACAGCCAGGAGTCCCTTCAGTTCCCTGGGTAAGACCCTGCCCACCCTGCACGTCCAGCACAGGTACCTGATCGGTGCACCAGTACCACAGGGCAAGGATGGACAGCCCGAAGATGAGCCCGGGCCATGGCAGGTCTCCCTTGAGGGGATCTCGAAAGATGTGGAAGGAGTCACTCCTTGGGGTGTAGCACTCCTCTCTGATGGTGATGTTTCCATCGGAAACCACAGTTGGAATGGCATTCATGTACTTTTCCATGAAGGCTTCATACCCTCCCACTTCGTGAAAAGCTGGAAAATACCGGTAACAAAAATCAACATCCCAGAATTCTCTTCTCCTCACAGTATTTCCTCCTGGGGATGCCTGAGAGACTGCGAGGAGCTGACCCACAGCTAGCGCCCTCACTGTGTGGTCTTGGGAGAGTTACTTTCCCGTTCTGGGCCTTGGCTTTCTCGTCCATTGTTAACCCTGCCCTGCCCCCCTCAGGGGCTCCTGAGGATCCAAGGCAATAACCTGCGAAAGGGCTCGAACCATGAACATCTTTACAAAGGGAAGGGATTCAAATTACTAAGAGAAAGAGATCTTGGTTTTGAACCAGGTTCAAAAACTCTGATTTTCCCTCAGCCCCGACCATCAGCAGTGGCCTTTGGGACCCCAGACACAGCCTTAGAGACATGCAGACCAGACCCAACCAGACCCCCTGCCTCAGGTCCTAGCCATGGGGTGGGATGGACAGAGAATGGGTGAGAGGGGTCTGGAGCTCTGCCACCCAACGACCGTGTCCTTGCAGTAGGCCTTCCAGTCCCTGCCCTGCAGACCCCTGGGGGACCACCAGGGAAAACTCAATGGATTTTATATAATATATAATAAAATGTATTTTATACCCTCCCATAATGAGTACCTCTACCCTCTAGGGATTCTAGTCTTGTCTTTAGGATTTTACAGACAAAATTTCACCAAATTAGGGGGTGGAGGGGCCAACATAAAATGCCTGCTTTTTTAAACTTTGTCCAATAAGGACATAAACAGGAAAAGTATCCCTTCCTATCATCAACTCACACAAGAAAGAAAACTTAACATCAAAATGTAGATAAGATTTAACCTAAGATTTAAGATACGACATTTGCATATAGTTAGTCTGATGGACATGTAGTCTTATCCTTTTTTTGCCCAGTTTCTCTGTGCAGGGAAGACCACATCATCGCAGGCCCACACGGTGGACCGCTGGCCCCGACTGTCTAGAGAGGACAGCGGGGAACACAGGTGTCGTCTGGGCCAGGCCCCACTCAGACATCCAGGGCCAAGGAACGTGCCCTCCACACACCCTCAGTGATGGCCAGTCTGGGCTGTACCACTCCCCTGGGGAAGGCAGGCAGGGAGGCTGGACTCGGTTTTCCTCCCTGGACCTCTGTCTCCGCCTCCCTGCCTCCTCAGCCTGCCGCAGCCCCACTTACCAAACCCGGTCAGGATGAAAGACCCCACCAGCATGATCGCCGTCTGCAGGGTGTCCGTGTAGATCACCGCCGCCAGGCCCCCTACGTGGACAGGGAGACAATGTGTTTGACCTCACGTAGGAGAGCACCCAGCCAGCCTGCCTCCTGTCCCCACTTGCCACCCTCTCTATCCACACACCTGTGAGCATGGCCCCCAGACACCCCACCCCCTACCACCACCCTCCCTTCCTTCCTGCTCTTGTCCTGTTACAGCAGACTGCTACCCAGCATGATCTACATCACTCTTCACAGATAGCTGGGAAGGTAGCGGAAAGGAGAGAGTCATCTCAGAGTTTAAGGAGGAAGAGCTTGATGAGATCATTTTAAGCTAGGAGATGACTCCTCGGAGATAAGAAATAGCACCTTCCTCAAGAGAAGGCAGAGGAGAGCAAACAGCTGACGTCTCTACCAGGTGGCTGGGACTTGACCAAATCCACACATTCAGAGGGCTACTTGTACACTGACCCTATTCCCAGGCCACCCAAGTACTTCGTGTCACCAAAGCTACAGGGCTCCAGCTGAGCCGCAGGTTTCGTCACTGACCCTGGCCCCCTCACTTGGGCAGAGTGACCCCTCCGCAAAGGGGCCCCCAATTGTTTCTCAGGTCATCAGCTTCTCCAGCCTTCCTCCAAAGTCTCCTTGTATGTGTTAGTCCCTCCTTCTTCCCCAGAGTGTCTCCCAGTCCCTGTCACATCAAACCCAAGGCCTCTGCCTGGCTTCCAAGGCCCCTGCCCTGTGACCTCGTTTGAATTATCAGGACTTATCACCCCCCCACACACACATCTCCCACTGACCACTGTCCTGCCAAACCCACCTGCTGCTCACCCTGCCCCTGCCCCATGTGCTGCCCATCCCTGCTTCCGTGCCTTGCTCTCACCTGTCCCTGCACCTGGCACTCCCTCCCTGATTCTCCCCACTTTGCCAGGTTCTCACCATAATCTCCAAGGCTAAGCCCTGCCCCACCTCCTGGGAGAAGCTGTCTTGACTATTCCAGCCAACACTGGAGTTTTCTGGGGCAATCTATACATGACTCCTTAGGGTCTGTGATTTGGGACTCAGCAAATACCCCATCCCCAAACTGTTTCCTGGGTGAATCTCTCCTACTCGAGAGAAGAAGCCTTGTTGCCTACTCCTTTTCACTCTTCCCTAGTACCTAACCCAGGGCTGGGCTTGAGTCAAGGCATTTGAACGGACTCACCTGTGATTGTGTAAATGCCAGTGATTACCAATAGGAGAAAGATGGCCAGGTACAGATCCAGGCCCAAGGCCAAGTTGATGAATATGGCCCCAGAGAAGATGTCTGCCTGGAAGTAGAGGAGAGGTGAGTTAGGGGTGAGAGAGACCAGCTGGCCGCAAGGCCAGGTGATGAACTTGAAGGGGTGCACAGAAGCTGTCTCCTGAGTAGCGTCAATGCCTGTGATTTCTAGGGTCCAATGTTGGCCCACACCCCCTTGCCCTTAGGCCGAAATACCACAGTTAAATATTCATATTTTTATTCCCAGTTAAGAACACGAAAGGCAAGTACTGCACGATTCCATGTATGTGAGTATCTAAAATAGTCAGATCCATAAACTCGAAGACTGGAATGGTGGTTACCAGTGCTGGGGCGAGGCGGATGCGGGGAGTTACTCAGTACAGACACTGAGCTTCAGTTCAGTAAGATGAAGAAGCTCTAGACAACTGCTGTAAAACACTGTTCCTAGAAGTCGACAATAACGCATTGTACACAAAATCAGCCAAGAGGGCAGAGCACACGCTAAGTGCTCCTCCCGCAATAAAATAAAAATAAAGGGATACAAATGCCTGAGAGACATGGTCTATTCCTAAGTTTTCCAACAAGCTTTACTTAAGATGACAGTAGATATTTCATGAAAAGAAGAGGATTCTATGGTCAGAGATGATCTGTGAAATGCTGGTTTAAACCAAGTTCAGGGTTTCCTGACCACACAACTCCTCTGAGTCCTTAACCATGCTGCCCCAGAAGGGGAGTGTGGCAGATGACCCTTCACAAACGTGTTTAACCATGGAACTCAGTTTGTCAGGAACAACTATTAACACCTTGAGGTTCCTTTCAGAGCACCTGTGGACGGCTGCTCTAAGCTATTATCCACTGTTTACACCTTAGTGTGAGAAGGTTTATCAGATCTATTTCCACAGCAAGTTTGAGTACTGCAGAGTTCCATGCAAGGGAAAGCCCAGCCCCACACTGGAGTGGAGAGAAACTTCAGCAACATCCAAACTGTATCTCTCCAACCCGGATGTAGTTCACCTTGACCTTGACACAACCAGAACATCACCAAGAACCTCTTGCTTAGCTGTCTTGGTGCCAGGTGGTTCAATCTAGATTAGCTCATATAACTTGAGAGTGAATTGTTCCCTTTTCACCCCTGAATTCACCAGTTCTTGATACAGTTCGTTTTCTCTTCGCTGCTTCCTTTAGCCCCATAAACAACCTTCTGCCCAGCTGGATGGTGCAGTTGTTGATTTTAACCAGCAGAGGGTGATGGAGTCATGCAAAATAAATTTTCTTGGCATCTCAAATTACTACCAGGAAGAGGAGGATTAAGGGATGATCGCGGTGAATCTTTTGTTTTCAAATCTTTAGGTAGGAAAGCAATCAGACTTCCCCTAAATGCAATGCTCATGCTGTTTCATTGCATAAAACCTAATACATTTCAGGGCACATGAAGGGCCCCCCATTAAGAGCCCTGGGAAATGGTACCCTTGTCTCTCTATTCTTATCTCCCCCTTTCTATCAGGGCCCTCCAGGGACCGGTCCCCTATTCCCTGCCTCTTCGTGGTCTGAGAGCTTGTCTCACGCCAACTGCAAGCCTGTGTGTGAATGCATGACCACCCCCACCCCCTCACCCCCTGCAAAATTGACCTCCTGAAGCCCCTGTGCCTTGGGTCCCTTACAGGTTCTCTAGGCCCAGGAGACCTAATGGCATTGCATTTCCTGGTAGAGGAGAAGAGACAGAAGCAGGAGCTAGGGAGAGACATGGTGACTTAGAAAGAGGCCCCCCACCCTCAGGGCTGGTGGTGGAAGGACCTGGGTTTTAACCCCAGCGCTGCCGCTATCGCCTTAAGGGGCTGGACGAAACATTGCACCGCCTCTCCACGTCGCAGGGTTCCCGTCTTTCAGCGGGGCTCGTGACCCTCAGGGACTGGGAGTGGGACAGCCCTGCCGTCAAGGAAAGTACTTCCTTCCCAGGCCCTGGAGCTGTTCCACCCTGCCCTCCGCAGCAGCGAAAAAAAAGAACGTCCCCAGCAGCACCTTAGCCTTGCTACGGCTGAAATGGTCACTCCTTCCTGACTCTACTCGCTGGGCCACTTGAAATTGGGCTGAGTAATCGTAAGGCCTGCCCCTCCCCTCCCACACCTGCATATCATCTCATAAAGTTACTCTCATTGAAGGGCCCCATCTGCTGATTACAATGGAATTCAAGTGAGTACGATTCAGTAGATTAACAAATAAGCACAGTGAGCAAAAATATCTGTGTGCGTCCCAAGGCTATTATTGCCTTTAAAATGCCCTTGATTAGTTTATTTCCCAGATTAGTTCATTTATAACATTTTATGACAACATATCACAGCAGACTGTGATATTCCTGTTCATATTTGAATTGCTGTTATTAGTCACAAATAAACAGCACACGACTCCTAAGATAAGCTATTAACAAAGTCTATAAACACTTCTGAGAAGTGTTGGGCTAATAGAAATCTGTTTTTATAATACCCTATTTCCTGGACAGATAAACGATTCTAACAAAAACTGACTCATGAGTAGAAAAAAAAAAACTAAGACAAATTTCTACCCCCATGAGTCACTCCTAACTTCAGGGATGAATTTCCATCCTTAGGAGCCCAAAAGCCATCAGGAGTGCCTGGGGATGATACCATAGCCAAGCTCACGTTAGCCTGGGTGCTCTGGCATCAGTCTTCAAATCTCCTAGGTGCCCAAACTTTATCTGCTTCATAGAGTATTTTTTCCTCCGTATCCAGATGATTTTACAGTTTACAAAGATCTTTAGACACAGGCAGGCACTGCTTGCATCCTCAAACTAAGGTGATGTGCTGTAACAGGTATGCTGGCTCCACTTTTCAGGTGAGAAAAGCCAGTTAATGACTTGTTCAAGGGCAGGAATCCCGAGTTTCCCGTTCCATGCCCAGTGACCTTCCAACAACGTGAAAAGGCGAGGGTCTTCCTTTCTGGAATATTTTCTGCAGAGGGCAAGGTCTTTAATGCAAAAAAAATTTTTTTACCTACTTTTAAAATAAAATAATTTACATCTATATAGTTTAAAAACAAACAGCACAGGAAGTTATGCATTGAAATGTAAAAGTGGTCCCACTTCCGCCCCTTGGCCCAAAGGTGACCACTATTGAGAGATTTTTGTCCACCAGAGAATTTTCAAATGGCTTGCTGAAAATCGTATACCATGATTATGTTCCACAGCCTCTAAAATAATAATTCTGAAGATAACAACATGGAAAAGTGTTTATGGTTTGATCCTAACCGGGGAGAGAAAGGCCACAAAATTGCAACTCGATAAAAGAACTCACACAATCCAGGCAAGGCCACATTATGAAGATGTTTGTATTTGAATTATAGAATTACAGGTGCTTCCCCCTCCAGCTTCTCTTAAATACTGTGGTTATATTTTATATAATTTTAAAGGTAGGGGGAACAGAAATTTTAAAACACAATATGAGTATGTTCCTTATGGATATAGGGATATACATATATGTAGAAAAATATAAAATTATAGATCAGAGAAATACATACCAAGTTAAGAAAGTGTTTACCTAAAAGATATATTTGTTCATATCAGTAATGTTTTATTTTTTTTTAAATGGTAAACTCTTTAGATCCATAGCTTCTGGGTGGTGACATTCACTATATTATTCTTAGTCTTTTTCTGTATGTTTGAAGTACGTCATTACTTTTTTATTTGTAAGAATAAGGAACTTTACCACCAGCTTTGGTACAAAAGAACTCTCTTATAATCCTATGCGACCATTTGTTTCACAGTTCATTCCAAATTGCTGCTTCTCTGAACTATTCGCCCTTAATAAAGGAAAAGAAAAGAAAGGAAGGGAGGAAGGAAGGAAGGGAGGAAATTTCCTCAATGCTGCTAAGCAGAACCGGCTTGAAGTGAAATAGAAAATTATGGTCCTCCCCACCAGGAGCCAGCAAACTTTTTCTGCTAAGGGTCAGATAATAAATGTTTGAGCCTTTGTAAAACCAACCACACAGTCTCTGTCCGACCTGCTTGACTCTGCCACAGAAGCATGAAAGCAGCCACAGACAAGATATCAATGAGTGGGTATGGCTGTGTTCCAATAAAACTTTATTTACAAATCAGGACATTGAATTTAGCCCAAGAGCTTTGTTCCCATCACTTTGAAGGTTTGGCTGAACACTTTCCATGGGACTCACGGGGAACAATAAAAATACAGGCCGAGCTGGAAAAATGTCTTAAAATAACAGTCATTGGCTGCCAGCCTTGGGCAGGTTGTTTTGTCTCAACTCTGATGCTCTGAGATGCTGTGATCTTACACACATGTGTTTTCTGTCCTTTCTGGTGCTAGTTGTATCTGAGCACCCAGTCAATCCTACCTGGCGATGATGTTTGAGATGGAGAGCCCCATTGCTCAAATGTCTCTTTCCATTTGTGAAAGTAAATGACGCAAGTGACGAGCATTCAAACCATAAGCAAAAGCCAAAGCTCTTGTTTTCACCCAGTGATCTAAAGTGGACAGTGGAGCTGCTGTAAAATTTTATTGCAGTCAGGCTCTGTGATAACAGCCCCAGGAAACCGAGACAGGGATATCGGAAGCCACGTGTAATCCATAAAATCTGAGGCTTTATCTCAAGTGACTACGCACCTTTGAATGAGATGTATGATGCCCTGATGCTGGACAGAACAAAGTGATCTCAGAACTCGATGGGATGGGTCCTCAGGCAGAGCCAATAAAACTCAGAGGAGCACATGGAGGAATAATCAAGCCTGGGCCTCAGCGCCCAGAAGGATGTGGCCACAAAACAGCAGCCACAGTCATGACCCCACGGCACCGCTGCTCAGTGGCCTGGCTCACATCTGGGCCGTGCACCTGACACACCTTTAGGTTTTCTCTGCATCGACTACATACCCACTGGATCCCCACATCCTCCCCAAGCCTTCCTAGCAGGTCCCTGGTTATTGGGACTGTCTCAGCATGGATCCCACAAGGCCACTCTTCTCACCCATCACAAATTAGCCGAGCCTCTCCACACGCACAATAAAACTGATCAATATTTATGTGCAATGTAAATATTTGACTTCCTTACTCTGTTAACTAACAATTTTTTGCCCATGAACCCTGAACTCCTGTGTATTTTAATCTGAGTGTCTGGCAGGTTGACATCAGCATAAACCTTTCAAAGATCAATTTGATTCATGGGCTCTATGACCCATGGTGAACCTAAAGTCGGAGAAATTCATAAAGACAAAGCCTTGCCTATGGGACCCTTCCCTTCCCTTCCCTGGAGCCTAAACGCCCCTCCTTCAGCTGATGCTGTCTCCTCACGGGCCTCCCAGGAACTCTTTTATACTGGAAGGTCATTTAACTGGCTACCTTCATTTTTCCCGAGGTCTTCAATTTTTACCTACTCTGTACTACAGACTGAAAGACTTAGAAGGCGAGGAGTAGGGGCAGAGGTGACATAATGTCAAAAGGTTTGGATTCAGTATCAAGAGTTCCTGCTTCTCATCCTAGTACTGCTCCTGTTTAACCCCACAAAGTCCCTCCCCCAGTCAGGACCTCAGTTTCTCTATCTGTAAAATGAGAGCGTAGACTTAGGGCGAGATAGTCTACCCCGTCCTTTCATCCTGTGCCTTCACTCCACGCAAGCATGGAGGAGAACTGTGTAGGGAACACAGTCTCTGGGGCTGAAAACACCCAAAAGTCAGTGTTGGCTTTGCCATGCACCAGCTGTGTGATTTGGGACAAAGAACCTAACTCCTCTGAGACTCAGTTTTCTCTTCCAGGAAATGGAAAACAAAATTAAAACCCCTACCCGTGCAACACTCTTATGAGACATGGAAAGAGCGTAAGCAAGGCCCCTATTGGAGGCTAAGTAGAGACTGGCGCCGAATAAAGGGCAGGTATCATCCTTCTTGTACGTCACTTAGGGGACGGCTGCCTCTGGGAAGCAGGTAGAGCAGGCAGGTCCCAGGGCCAGGCCTCCAGTAAGGACCCCCAGAAATTACAGGCAGAGGGAGCAGCCTAGGCCAAGCACTATTTAAAAGCAGAACTCTGAGAAAGCTGACTGCTACCCTCAGTGGGCGCCATCAGGACCTGAGCTGAGGGAGGCTGCCCCTCAGCTTCCTGGGCATGCCCACGTCCAGGGAGGTTTAATCAGTAACCGGAACAGTAAGTGAGGTGATGGGGAAGGCAGGGAGCAAGGCTGGGCCCTTCATTTATTTGTATGACTACCCCTGCACCAGCTTTGAGGACAAAAAGTGCCCTTTCCATGGCAACCATAGTCCACAGACTTTCGCCTGTTTGAACTGTGGACTTGGACACGTCTTGCTCCTGAGAAGGGGAGTCCAAGTGCCATTCCCTCTGTGTCACTAAGCAGGTCCCACCTCACAAGCTGAACCCAGGAACTGTTCCCTTACCGACTTCCCACAAGTTCAGGGTGACCTCCCCACCCTCCCTGCTTACATTTTTTTCCTCCTCTTACATTGCTGCCCTTCCGCCTCAGGAAGACGGATTTCTCTGCTCCCTCCCAGTACTTCACAGTACAGTCTCTGTACATTGATCTGTTAGAAAATAGGACAATAACTAAAAACTAACCCCGAAGGAGGGAAGGAAAGAGTGAAGAGGGTGGAATCGTCACACTGGCAAGGAAAACACAAAGACACCGAGCAGGTCAGTAGCAAAAGTTTGAAGCAGGAAACTGGGCAGGGAGGGAGCAGCAACCCTGGGCATCAGTCCCAACTCTAAGACAAAGCCCTATTGATCCTCAGGGTGAGAACAGGTTTTCAGTGAGTTGTGTAAAAAATGTACGTGCAAGTCCTTTCAATGGGGAAATGATAGACTTCAAAAATGGGGCTGATAGAACTGGATATCCACATGCAAAAGGATAAAGTTGAACCCCTACCTCACATCATATGCAAAAAATTAACTCAAAATGAATCAAAGACCTAATGTAAGAGCTAAGATGATAAAACTCTAAGGAGCAAACATAAGAGTCAATCTTCATGACCTCAGCTTTGTTCATGGATTTTTTGGTGTCACAGAATTGGTGTCACTGAATTCAATGACCACATAAGCATGCGCAACAACAGTAAAAGTAGATAAAATAAACTTCATCAAGATTAAAACCTTTGTTCATCAAAAGACACAATCAAGAAAGTGAAAGACAGCCTACAGAATGAAAGAAAATATGTGCAAATCATCCATCTGATGAGGGTCTACTGCCCACAATACATAAAAACGCTTTCAACTCAACAACAAAAAAGACAGACAACCCGTGAAGAAAAGGGAACCCTTGTGCACTGTTGGTGGGAATGCAGATAGGTGACTCCACAGCGGAAAACAGTAGGGAGGTTCCTCAGAAAATCAAAAATAGAACTGCCTTATAACCCAGTGATTCCACTTCTGGGTATATATTTGAAGAAACCCAAAACACTACTTCGAAAGAATACGTGCATCCCTATGTTCATTGCAGCATTATTTACAATAACCAACCATATAGAAGTAACCCAAGTGCTCATCACCAGACAAGTCAATAAAGAAGCTGTGGTACATATACACAATGGAATATTACTCAGCCACACAAAAAAAAGAGTGAAATCTTACCATTTGCAACAGCATGGATGGACCTAGAGGGTCTTATGCTAAGTGAAATGTAAGACAGTGAAAGACAAATACCATATATTTCTCTTATATGTGGAATCTAAAGAATAAATAAATGAACAAACAAAACAGAAACAGACTCACAGAGAACAGACTGATGGTTGCCAGAGAGAGGAAGGTTGGAGGGCTGGGCTAAATGAGAGGGGGGGGCAGCCCCAGGGGCTGAGTTCAGAGAGAGGAGGAATCCCCCAGACAGTTAGTGACTAGAGGCCCAGCGGGCTGCTTCCAAGCACGCAGAAGAAGACTTGCACCGTGAAAAGGACAGGGAGCCGGAGCCAGAGGTCTGGGTCCTATTCCTGATTTAAGATTCCGAGCAGGTACTTTCCACCCCCAGGGTTTTTGTTTCTTCATCCGTAAAGGAAGAGGGAGAATCTCTCCTGAGATGGTCACTGACTGCTCATGTTTGAGTGCATCAGAAACATCACCGGAAGCCAGATTCTGACCCTGAGAGAGCACAAAGCCACGGTCACATCTAAGTTTGGGGCCAGCCCTCAGACATCCCTAACTCCCTTTTAATCTTCTATTAAGAACAGCTTTCCCTGAACCTTCTTGAACCTGTTTATGTTTTTGACCTTCCCCACAGTAGAGGATAAGTTCCATGTGTTGGCTCCTTGAGGCATGAAATAGGACTTTACCCTAAGGAGCAAGAAGACTTAAGGGACCGAATTAATAGAAAAGTATAGCGCTGCCCCTTGGTGGGGCACCAGTGCCCAGCCTTGCCGGGCAGTGAACTCACCGAGATCTTGGTGAAAATGTAGAGCAACAGGGACAGGATGGAGAGGTAGACTTGGATCCGCTTGCCTCCGAATCGCTTCCTCAGGTACTCTGGCATCGTCACCACCTGCAGGGGATGAAGGGAGGTCGCTGCAGCCAGAGTGGCCAGAAGGCCCAGAGCAAGCAGAAGAGTGACATCTACCAGGGTGCCAAGGCTTAACCCTCGTTGGTCAGAGAAGTCTGTGACGTGTCCAGGTGGCCGTACTCCAGTTATTTGCTCGTCTCAGTCCCACATGCCTTACTGCAGAGGTAGCTGCGTATTATCCCAGGATGTAGAAGGTGCCTTATTAACACGTTTTAAAATAAATATATGACTGCACATAACCAAGATGGCAGATCTTTGCCATGGAGGAGGTGGGGGTGGATAGATCAATATTCCTATACACGGCGCCACCGGCATGCAAGACATTAACAACAGTAACAGCTTTTCAATGCACTGAACAAGGTGACCAGGCTGGCCGTGTGCTTCACCCTGCCCTGCATGCAGCCCTCACCATGGAGCGTGCCTGCAGGCCTGCTCAACTGTGCTCCCAGTTCCTTTCTGCAAGTGTCAACCACACTCTGTCTTGCTCCCTCAACCCAGAGCCCGTCGTCTCCTGGGATCAGACATGTGTCACCAACAGCCTCCAGAAGTTGCAGAGTCTGCCCTGTGTTTCTTCCATATTGCTTTCAGTCAACTTCCATGTGGGAGTTACTCATTACAGCTCACTGAAGCAAGGATACTAAAGCTGCCTTAGGTAAAAGGTCATAGAGCTTTCCCTGAGAGCTGGAGCATGCATTTGATAGTTGAGTACCAGTTGCATGCTCAGCAAAGAAACCTGCTGATGTACATAAAAGAAAGGGAAATATGGCCCTTCCAGGGGCAGAGGCACATGGTTTTATATCATAAGCAAACGCAGGGCAGTGCCTTGTAAATACACACCCAGCATAAGAGGCCATGATGCTTCAGAGGGCTCTGAACAGAGTGAGATTGTTTAGGAAGAGCAAGCCATGGCTTAGTGGATTGGTTTAAAGTCGCTAGGAGCAATCAGGGACTTTATAACCTGGAAAAGCAAGCCCAGGCACAGGCTTTCTCTGCCATTTATCCTAAAAAGTCTCCTCTGCCTTTCAGGGGGACCAAGCATTTGTGTGAGTGTGTGTGTGTGTGTCCATCAGTCCGCAGTAGATGGAACAACAGGTACTTACCCCAGCCTTGATGTAAATAGGGACAAACAACCAGCCCAGCACAACCACGAAAATCAGGGCCTAAAACCGAAAAGGAAACGGAGTCAGATCACGCTGCCTGAAGGCCCCCCAGCGACTACAGAACAATCGCCCAGCGGTTTTTCTTTGAGCACTGAGGACAGCTCCCTAGGAGGCCATCAGGGTGGGCGGGGCCCACGGGAATGGTAGCTGAGCAACCCCTCATGACTGTCCAGTGACCTCACAGCTATTTTTCCTCTTCTCTGGTTTACAAAAAGTAAACTACCATTTAGAGACCTTTTAAAAAATAAATAATTATCATAATAGAAATCTGGTGATAAGCATTTCCAAACCTCCAATATGGCTGAAAGGGCAGAGGAGTGCCTGGCTTGTTAAGAGAAGAAAGAAATGCTATTGTTCTAACATCAGTGGTTTTCTCACACTACTCTAGCAGGAGAGTGGCACCCTGGGGCCCCTCCTTCACCTGCGTCGCAGGATGGCCAGAAGAGCTTCCCTAACATCTACAGCACCTCCCTCTGAGCACAGATTGAACTGGCTGACTGCTAACGCTCCTTCCACGGTGTCTCTGATGTTACTCACATTCCACTCAAAGCCGCCAGTGGCGATGCCTGCAGCTGCTCCCGTCCCAGCCAGCCCCACAAAGTGGCCACTTCCGATGTTGCTGGCGAAAAGAGAAGCTCCAATCTGGAAACACAAAGATAAAGTAGGGTGAGGACTCTATGCTCCTTCAGGACACTCAAGGGTGAACCAAAGAGGGAAGACACATGTCAGCCAAGAGAAGGACAAGAACCAGCAGAAGGCCAGGAACTTGACTGTGCTGGAGTCTGTCGGGACTGCTGGTTCTGAAGGTGGCTGTGGGGGCTTGGGTAATAATAGTGAAGAGGAAGAGGAAAGAATTAAGGAAGAGCCATTGGGCTGTATTCCCGAATCAGATCATCTGTGAGTCCTTTGTGAGCCCAATGACCCAAAGTGTAGGAGACATGGGAAGCCCCACAGCCTACCAGGCCTCTCCTAGAAGTCTCCCAAGAAGCTGTGGACTCAGGACCAGGGCCTATGCCAATCGTCTCTGTGTCCTCCAGCACTCCTGGCTTGGGACTTTGATGAATATAAGGTTCTCAGTAAATGGGGACAGTTTGATAAAGGAACCACTTGAAAGGAAGCCTCTTGGCCTCAGTCCCGTCGCCTGTCACAGAAGGGAGGCAGCGGAGCCAGTGATTTCCAAGTGACTCCTAGCTGTTAAATTCTGTGATTCCATGTGCTCCTGAGTAACAAGAGATGATAATAATAATAATAATAATTCTCTAATTGATACAGCATTTTTATTTTTACAAAGATCCCATAGACCCAGAGACAAATTCACAAAACATTGCATTTTTCAATATGTCTCAATACACAGGTAAGAAGACAGGTTGGAAGAACTCATACTAAATACCCGAAAGTAAAAACCTGGAAGGGAAGATACCAAGTGAAACAAGGTGAAGGGCTTGCACTGACCAGTCAGGATACTGTGCCATCAACTCAACTGCATCTGAGGCTCAAGAGAACTCCAGGCAGTTCTAGAGCCCTTTCATACCCAGGAGCAGAAGGGATGGCAGCGTTTGATAAATACCAAACTAGTATAATTATCCCAATTCTTGATAAGTGAATGGTGGGGGAGGCTTGTAGTTATTTGTTTATCCCTAAGAAGTTCCAAGGCTGGAACAAAACACATATTTCCCCAAACACAAGTCACTCCAAAAAAGCTGTCCTAACTGCACCAGACCCTACACCCAATATATGACAGTTGGGGGCTTGGTGCCAAGTCAGAGAAGGAGATCCCTGAAGGCCAGGCTGAAAGGAGGTCTCTAGAATGAGGAAGAAGTAGTGATATAAATGCCTCCCTTCCTTCATTCACTCTACACATTTATTCAATGTGTCAAGCACTGTCCCAGACACTTGGGATTCTGCTATAAATAGCACAGGCAAAAAAAAAAAAAATCCCAACACTCCAGAAGTCTATATTCTAACAGAGGAAACATAAATAAATACCCCCCCCCCAAAAGATGAGAGAGTGGTAAGTATTGGGAAGAAGAGAAAGGTGTGATAGAGAGACTACTTTAGCTTGGAGAGTCGGAGAAAGTTCCCTCCATGGAGCTTAACCTCTAAGCTGAGATCAGAATGATAAAAGAAGTCAACTATATTGAGAGCAGCGGGAAGGCATTCCAGCAAAGCAAAGACCCCCTGAGTGGGAAGGTCCTCATGGTTGAGAAGCGAGAGGAAGGTGAAGGTCGAAGGTCAGAGTGTCTAGAGTGTGGTGGGCATGGACAAGGGAGGTGTGAGGTGAGGCTGGAAGCTGGGTGGGGACACATCACAGAGGTCCTAGCAAGCCAGGAGAGGAAGTGTAGATTTTATTGCAAGCGTGATGGGAAGGCACTGGAGGGTTTCAAGCAGAGCAGGGACAGGATCTAATTTGCTTTTAAAGATTGCTCTCAAGCGTGTGGAAAGTGTAGTGTTGAGGACAAGGGACAAAAGAGAAACCAGGTGTGAGGCTGGTGCTGCATCTGGATAAACGAGAAGAGTGACTTGGTCTTGGGTGGTAGCATAGAGACAAAGACAATTGTAGAGATGAGGGTCTGTTATAGAAACAGTTAAGGGGCCTTGTTGATGGATCAAATGTGGGAAATGAGAGAGAGAGAGTAATCAAGGGTAACTTCTAGATTTGGTACTTGAGTAACTGGGTGAACACTATTCATTAAGAAAGGGAAACTGCATACTGTGATTATTGCCACTTAAGAGTTTTAATCTTTGCCCTGGCTGGTGTAGCTCAGTGGATTGACCATGGGCCATGAACCAAAGGGTCACCAGTTCGATTCCCAGTCAGGGCATATGCCTGAGTTGCAGGGCAGGTCCCCAGTGTGGGCCACGTAAGAGGCAACCACACATTGATGTTTCTCTCCCTCTCTTTCTCCCTCCCTTTCCCCTCTCTATAAATAAATAAGTAAATAAATTTATATATATATAAAGAATTTAAATCTTTGGTCATCTGTACTTTAAAGTGTGTTGTATAATGTAGACATGCTTGCCTTTGTTAAAAGAATTGGACCCAGTAAATTTTGCCAAAGAAGTAAATTACCATCGCCTCTGACTATTAGTGGAATTCTCATAGTGTGAAAAGTTCTATTGACCCAGACTGCATCTCGTCTTCCTTATAACATAAAAATTAAAACACTCTGTGTGCTTCAAGAAGAAAGAGCAGGAGGAGGAGAGAAGGAAGAAAAAGAAGGAGATAGAGGAGAAGGAGAAACTGGGAGGAAAGCAGGCTGCTTAGAGATCTACTTTTTTCTCTTCAAAGCTTGATGGAGATAACAGTCCATTTTTTCATCAGAATCCCTTATCCATGTGGCCTGCCTGTCCTGACCCATTATCTTTTCACTTATCATCTCTCACTTAATAAATTATTAAGCCTAATATACTATTAAGGGCATAATTACCAGCAATGATTAACTGCATTAGATTAACCTTAAGTTCAAGAAGTCCTCTCCAACATCTCCCCAAAGGGAGTTTTGGACTCTAAACTATTGCAGGCTTTTCTGAGATACCTCCTCACGTTCCACCTGATGAACTGGAGGCCAGGAGAGCTTTGGGGGTACCACATGAATGGGGTCCACGTTCCGTTTGTTTCTATCAGGAGCACTGCTGTCCTTCCAGTTGCTCACCTTGGCCTCATCCTGAACTTCCTCCCTTTGCCCCATAACCTGCACTCAATCATTTACCAAAACCTGCCTGCCTTCAAAATGTCATGGGAATCTAACACTCTTTATATTGCCCTTGCTGGCTGTCATTATTTCTCAACAGAACCATGGCATTAGGCATCTAGATGATGCCACCCACCCACCCCCCACCCACATGGTCAGTTATGTCCCCAAAGCACAACGCCAGTCACATCACTTCCCTGTTCAGAGATCCTCCCAGACCCAAATGGACTTGCCAAGCAACCTCTTTGGCAACTCCAAGTTTAAAGACATAGTCCCTAGGAGTTCAGCAAGGTTTCAGTTAAAGTCCCCTCCAGTGATATGGTAACATGAGCTTCTAAATTAGAGTTGATAGGCTTTCTTGACCTCACTATCTGGGCAATCATAACATCTTCGAGCTTCAGTCTGCTCTCATGACAGCCTTGTACAGGAGTCAAATGAGACCATGAATCAGTAATGATGACACTCAGCTGGCCCTCAATCAGTGTCCTTCCTCTCCCCCAAGAGGACACTCAGTTCACCCTCAAGGACAATTTACAAGAACTACAATGAACACTATTTTGGTCTGAATTATGTTCCCCCAAAATTTGAACGTTGAAACCCTAATCCCCCATGTGACTGTATTTGGAGATAGGGTCTTTATCGGAGTAATTAAGGTTAAATTGGATCATAAGGGTGGGTCCCCAGTCTGGTAGGACTGGTCCATGTGTACACAGAGAAGAGGCCATGTGAGTGCCAAGGGACAAGGCAGCCATCTATCAGCCAGGAAGACAGGTCTCGCCAGAAACCTGCCCTGAGAGCACCTTGATTTTGGATTTATAGCTTCCAGAACTATGAAACAAAATACCTTTCTGTTGTTTAAGCCACCCAGTCTATGATATTTTGTTACAGCAGCCCATGCAAGCTAATATAGACACATTTGCTTTACCACCTGCTCTCCCACGCCAGTTTTTCACACTGCCCTTCCTCTCGCTGGAACTCATTAATAATGCTTTCATCACTCTGATTTCCCAAACCCTCCCCCAGGTTTATGCCCATTTGGGAATGATGTCCCAACCAGGGAGTCACCCAGTGACATGTTTTCTGTAATTTTCTCTCACGTTCCTTCTGAGCTCAGAATGGTAGACTTCATCTAAAGTTTCCCCAGCTTGATCTTGCTTCTGACACTTCTTTCCAAGCCTTCCTCATCCCCCAAGGGAGCTCAAGAAACCATGACAAGTATCAAGATGGTTTTGCTTTCTCTGTGCAAGAGGAGCTGGATCTAACCAAACCCAAGAGATGTAAGAGCATTGCAACTGGAAAATAACATAATGTCACAAGACATAAGGCAAAAAGACTAAGAATAAAGCATGCAGGGAAGTTATCTGTTTATTTGGGGGTGGGGGGATGTAGAAAAAGACTTGAAACTGTCATTGAGCCCTGGCTGGTGTAGCTCAGTGGATTGAGCACCAGGCTGCAAAGAGGAAATAGAAATTAGACATCTTAGCTCAGACATCTGATGTTAGAATTATCTTGGAAATGATTAAGGTCAACCTTCCATTTTCAAAGGGAAACAAAACAAGAGCCCAGAGGGGAAAAAAGTGATTCAAGTTTACACACTAATTTTGCTTTTACTTCCATACACTCAGGAAGGTAAGATAGCATATGCACACTCAGGACCACTAACCCAGGAGTCGAGAATTGCCTAAGTCGGCGGACAGCAGACGTGTGTGTCTTCCTAGCTGCATAGCCAGAGGCTACCAATGGATTTGACAAAAGCACCCTGTATCATACTTGAAAGCATAATTAATGGCGTGGACCCCCTCTTCTTCCCCTCCCTCTAAGTACATAAGGAGGCTTGTGACCTGGTTCTAACCTTGGTTCTGCCACAGCACATCAGGTAACTGTGAGCCAATCACGTTACTGCCTTGACCTTCAGTTTCCTCCATTATAAACATATACAAGCTTTAATGA